GCACGCACAACAGGATCAGCTGTCAGAGGTGAAAATGAGTAGCATCACTGCTTCTCAGCTAGGGATAGTTGTACTGCGATCTGCATCCTTCTTCCTTCGGACTGAAGACCAGAGCAGTTCACACCAGGAACATGGCATGGTGAAATGCATGGTCCTAAACTTTGAAAGTACCCGGCTGCCAAACCTCTTCATCAAAAAGTGAACCTAGGTCTGCATCCGGGCAAACGTAGAAGGAATGAGAGACAAACAGAATCACACTGAAACTGCAAAGAGATTGATCTCACTGAACTGCAAAGAGTTCTAGAAGTTCTAGCCTGAAGCCTGAAGCAATCGCACCCGGGTCACTTCAATGATTTTGTAATGAACAACCAAAAAAGGAAGACTGACTCCCTCAGTTTTGTCTGGATCATAGATGAACCGTTAACCGTTAACCCCACCCGTTGCTTTGGAGGAAAGCCCACGCCCCCCCAAATTTGCTATCATCCAGTCTTCTGAAACAAGAACACGCAATCACACGTGTCCAAAACGCGCACACACACACACACATCCCTAAAGCACTGTGGATTTGTTCCGAGCTTCAAGCCCATCCGAGTCCAACTCCGCACTCCGTGCGCGCCAAAAAGGCGAAAAAAAACGCAAGTTCAGGGCGTCAGGCTTGGAGAGCCAGAGAAGGGCGGGCGCACCACCAAAGGGAATGGCACTTCGCGTCCTACGATCTTGACGTACATGGGGATGCGCAGTGGTCCTGCGCACGTGAGAAGCTGCAGTGAGAAGAGAAGCGTCTCCATGGATAGCACGGGCCATGGACAGCATGTCAGCCCCGTGCAAGATCGGGTGAAGAGGAGAGGTGTTGGCCATGCGGCAAAGGAGTGAAGATTGGATCCGTGTTGCCTGCCATCTGTGATCAACCAAAGCTCTCCTAAAAAATTAGATGGGTCAATGGGCAGTTAAGGGTTAATAACTCTGGACAAAGTTCTTAATACCATCTATGAACCCTTCAGCGCTTCGGACCCATCTAACACACATTCGTACGCAGTAGTGTACGTAATATCTATGTACACAGCAAATATCACTTGTCACTTCCCGTCGTTCCTCGCTCACCATCGCCATGCAATATGCCATGAACCATGAAACAGAACAAAAGCTCTTCCGGCAAAACCACCTTGTGTCATGTCCAGTCAGGACATACAAAAAAAATCCCAAGCAGTTGGAGCTCAAGCCATCTTCGGCTTCGGCACATGTTGAGAGCTCCAAACAGGCCCCCCCCAACAGTCACGAACGAGCCTGCCGTGTGTGCCGTCAAGGTCACGGTGATCACGTGGGAGGCACACGGGGGGCACCGTACCGACCTGGATTGGCGTGTAGAGGCGAAGATAACTACAGACGGACTGGAAGGGTTCTACTAAGTTCATGGATTCATCGTACCCAGAGGTATGGGGTTCCTAAGTAAGTGAGTTCTCTGCGGATCAAGAGAACTTCATAAGACATGAGTTCAAGTTGATCTAAGTTGACCGCCCATCATAGCGTTACTGCTATGGTGATGTCCTTTTGTTTTTGGGACCTGTGTAAATGAATGTTTAACTATTTTCAATGGGCTTTCACAGGAATCTTCGGATGTTTGTTGCTTTGTTCATCTATCCAAATTCCGATTTATTCCATATGCATGGATGGTGCTAGGGTATTGATGAACCTCAATCTGCACTTGAAGTTGATTGCCATTCTAAGCCCATGCCATGCCTCACTGGGTGACAGCCATCCTTGAACCTCCAACGCTTCGGGGCAAACTTCGAAGAAGCTGCCTGGTGGGTCGACGACATGTCGTAGGTAGCCCAATGGTCCCTCTATGGATAAACTTACAATTTATAATATAATCAATCATATTTATAGTTAAACCGACCAAGCAGCATCATGATTTCCATGAAAAGTAATGTATGGATATCATAATTACATCCCATGCCAAGTAGATCGTGCGCAGCTGTATACCAGCTACAGTGCACCTTTGCACAGGTTGTGGACGTGTTCTGATCTTTGCTTGATGTGATGCATATTCCACAGAGTTTTGACAAGCTGTTGCCCCACAACAAGAAATATGACCACTTCAAAGCCACAGTGCTTTCAGAGATCCCCTTTTCGTACATGCTGCTTAGCGAGAACTCACACATCGTAATCTCATCGCAGTCACCAGCATCCGCAAAAACACCGAACTTTCCGCCGCCAGGACACACCACTTTGGCTTCGACTTAGGTAATTAGAATCACAGAGATCAAGCTGAGCATCCCCCACCCACTGATCCGGCTCAAATTCCGCCTTGGATTTATCCTCCTGAGAGTGGTCAAAGGAATGCACGGAGTAGGTAGAATGGGATGCTCTTTCAGGCCAAGTCTTGGTGGAAAGAAAGCAAACAGCCCTTCATTCTAGGCATGATTGCAGGGCTGTGTGCATGGATGAAGGGTAATCAACACAGGACCCAAGCAAAGTGACCCAATACCCAGTGGAATGCAAACACAACCAAGTTGCGTCGCCACTACTTTGCCCCTTGGTCTTTGGGGCTCCCGTCATTCCCGTCGCTCCACTTTGTCAGGCTCCATCCGGTCACATCCAACCCGTCAGTCTTCCCATGCCAGGTTCACCCGTGATGGGGTCGACATTGGTTTTGACATTGACACTTCCCCCCACCGTGGCCATCAAAAGCATTACACAGGAACGGGTGAATGCTGTCCTCTTCGGAAGCGAAGATTTCCGCATCCCAAAAGGCGGATATAGCAGGAACTAACTATAGCCAGTTAGTTTACTGTAGGGTGGTCGCCTTTCTGCTGTAGGCAGAAGCAGTCAGCGCCGTCTGATTTCCGACTGCCAGCGCTAGCAGCGCACATCAAATCAAGTCCTAGAGCCTGGGCCTAGAGTTATCCAGAGCACGCTCCCGAACCCCCTTCCAGTTGATCTACGAAAGCCTCCAAAAACCAATCCACTTGATCTACTCAAACACGGTGCCTCCTCCGCGTCAAAAGCTCCCGTCCTGTGTCTCCACCATGAACTTGGCAGGCAAGACCTGGTCGCCGATCCAGTTCACTGGGCGTCCGCTGCGACAAGAGATGGTCGACGCACAGCTCCCATTGGGTAAACAATATGATAAGTGGATTCTGATGATGAACATTGAATACTTGATTGATAGTAGTTCTAGAGGACCCTGACCAAAATGCTCTTGAGAAGGTTCATGTTTTCTTGGCGTGATCTGCGTGGTATATTTAAAAAGGAACTATGTTCCCGTTCCAATCGACGAAGCAGAATGCAGTGATTTGAACAGTTTGGTGGGAGGAAACATTAACCGACATTTCTTGGAGGAGGAGGTCCTGTCTTTGGCTTAGATAGCTGGCACATACTAGGGACCCCGTTTTCGAATCACCTTCCTTTTCGTCCGGGCCGTGATCTTCTCGTCCTTCAATCGCCACATCTGCTCCGAGTGGCAGAAGTGTTGTGCAAGTAGAGGCTTTGATGAAAGGGATACCTGTTCGGGCGAACCAGTCTCGGCGTCTCACCGGATGTCCACAGGTCGGGAGCTGGAGCCTATAGGGCCTAGAACGTCCCACGTCCCCCCAAATACCGAAAGGAAACAAACAAATTTGTATAAAAGTGTTCAATGATAGCAAACTTTTTGATAGGTTTGCCATGACACCGTGGGCAAATTTTGCCCATCACCAATTTGGTGCCACAGAACGATGGCGAGGAAAGACCACCAAGCAACAACCTAGTATCCTCCAGGTCTCTAGTCCTGGCCACATGTGACAAATTATATAATACACACTAGGGAAACTTTGGGGAGTAGCTTCTAGGGTCCTTACTGAAGAAGTCTTCCACAACCTATGAACTACCCAAACACTCTAAATACCATTGTTCCCCGTCTCTGTCCTCCAAGTCATGCACGATTTCTTCTTCCACTGATTTTTTCTTTGCCCGATCAAATTCAACCCTTTGAAGCAAGCGCTTCTGCCCAACGTACCGCCGCTGCTTCGAAAACAAACACTCGCTCCGCAACTCCGCCTGATGAAGACGTCCCCATAGTTCAAGCAGCCGTGTGGCTCGAAGGAGACCTGATTTTGGTCGTTGGGCCATGGCGGAAGAACAAGTCGCGCGGCTGAACGGTCATGTTCCCAAAAGCCATTGAAGGAAATGACATTGGGTCTCCTTTCTCAGGTCTTTTTCGGGGATTACATGGAAGTAAGACCTAAAGAGCAGAATCTGGGGATACTTCAGGCAGACAAACGTTTACGCTTGTTAGCCTTCTTACAAAACACTCTGAGGTCAGCGGCGGATCGAATTAACAAGTCTAATTTTCGTGGCAGGTGTGGGACGGTCAATTATCACACCCTTTTACATTTACAATAATAATAGGCTTTCCGGGGTGACAAATGACCGCCCACACCTTCCCTTGTCTCATGGTGTAGGATTCTAGGGGGATAGGGTTGTCATGAGTTTCAACATCAACAAGCGCAACTTTCATCTGGCCAGTGTATTGGGTGTAAGAACGCATCTTGCATGTTTTTTTTGGTCAAAACTGCAGAGTCGGACTACCATGGACTACCAAACACCCAGTCGGACCAGGTAAACCTCGTGGTTGGACACCTCTGGAGACTCTAAACATGTTCTTGGGCCGTCTTTAGGTTGACGCAATCGAAGCAACTTGCATATGACACTGGTCGATCTGGTGTTTGAACCTGTACGTGGCTTCTCTAGCGTAGTCTCCGAATCAGCTTACAGTATAGAGATGCTGTTTCTTGCATCAAACGATTCTCGTGGACCACTTGATCTTGGAACAACAACAAAGTCTTAGCGTCATGGTTTTGGTGCTTATGTCGATGTGTGGGTGGTTCAAAACACTGACACAGTTTGAAGTAGGTCAGGAACCCCTTAGTAGAGTGCAAAGTCCATCAGTTGTTTGGCGCTTCAATGCTACTTGGGAAAATCAATGAACATCAAAGGGAAACCGGCTTCTCTTCATCATCTCCGTCAGCACCCACACGCTGCTGGGTTCACGCGCCGTAGGCACAGCACATTGAGCAAACATGGGGATCGACAACAATTCCTGGAGTACGCCGGGAACCTTGTCAAATTCCATGGCAAATGATCACAGGTGAGTTTCAAGGAGCACAAAACAACAAGCAATAGCAACATCAAGCAACCCAAGCATCAAGCAAAAATGCAAAGGCTGCCCTTGGCAATTTCCTTTGCTGAGGTTTACCAAATCGGCATGTAGTGCCCATGTATATATAGTAATATATTAAGTATTAATATATTATGTTACATTCTAACTGTTCGGATACTGTTGAGGACCAGTGCCGTCAGAGATGCCGGGAGAAATGGGCCACAATGTAGGCACGTAAGTAACCATGTACCTGGCTTCTGTTTCTGCTGGGTACCTTCCCGAGAAGGGATCAGCCTTCGACTACCCTGCCTTCGACCTCGCAGCCTTCGACCTCGCGAGCGAAGGAATCGGCTCCTTGCCCACGCCTTCCAAATCCACGGAAAGCCTGGTGCGGGGATGGGAGATGGGCAGCAGGGGATGTGTGGAGAGTGAACTGAGTCTGCCTTCTGTGATCTTTCTTTACCACACTAACCCTACAAGCCTGCTCCCTGTGTTGGGACAAGGTAAAGGCTAAGTGGTTGCTATCCCAAAAAGAATTGGTCGGTTGTCGTCGTGGGAGGACGTGCTCGGTTCTCACGACTGAATTGTTTTCATTGACTCAAGGGATGTTCATAAAGGTACCAAGGCGTTGATCCACACGGAGTGTTACATGTCCTTGAGCTTAGGTACTGCTTAAATGTCCTGATCTTTTTCTGGTGCTTATCATGAGTTGCAGGATACAAAGGTGAACATCGCCTTGCAACACACACTTGACGTGACAGGACAGGTCCTTTTCAGTGTTTTGGATAGGTCCTGAAGAGTCTGGTGAACTTTCATGTGTGACAGGATCCTCCAAGAAATCAGAAGTACTTACCGAGTCCACCCATGGACACCGAAAACGCGCAGGGAAAAAAAGGCCCCAGGGTCCACCCGGCATCCATGGCATCCATCTTAGATACGGTATTCGCCTCAGGTGACTCAATGGGCAAGTTCTGCCATGGCATCCATCTTCCCTTTTCCACCAAAGCACCTGGCCTCATGTCGTATTTCTTCTCGGTCTGACTGATAAAATCCACCTGTCCAGCTCGACACAAACCCACGCATCTGTTCCCCATCTACGATCGTCAAGAAGGACAACATCGTGAAACATGGTTTTGGAGATTGGGGTCTGCTTCATAGATGATTCCGTCCCAGTGGGATGCGCACGTGTAATTCCTGTCGTTGGACTGAAGTGCACCATCAAGGCCACTGCCACTGCCCCTGCCAGTGGAAAACCATCTCCCAGCATAGCCACACCCTTCTGGGAGATGGTAGCTTTGGTGTGACATAGCTTTGGGGAGGCCTGCCGCAAGGCCCCCCTTGCGTGGCCCCCTTGCGTGCCCAGGCAGAGTGTCCGTACGGGTGACCGGGAAATCTAGGGGGGGTCACCACTTCAAGGAGGGAGCTGCATGATGTACCCCGCAGCTGTGCAAAATAGATATGGTCGGTGGAACTAGCCTATGAATCCAGGAAATGTTGTCAGTTCCACCGTGAATATTGATAAGAAATTAATGTGTTATTTTTTGTTATTCATGTTAGCCAAGATATACCCACAAATTAATTAATGATGGTTGGTATGTGTCTTGCATTGCTTTGCTATCATGTGCAAGCTATATAGGCTGTATATACTTGACTCCAGCTATGTTCTCAAAAATACACATCTGATATCATCTGATACTCATCTTCAGAAGCTCCTCGGATCCGGGAAACATAGTGTAATCAAGAAGGCCTCAACCAGGGACAAAATAGATCCCAAGCAACCAAGCTGCTAGGGCTCCGGCTGAAAGGATAGTACAGTTGGATTGAGTATGGTTCTATAATATAGGCTTCCACTCACTTGAAGGGATGCCAAGATCACCAAAGGTTAATTTCTGCCACAAACATCTCAACCACCCGCCCTGTGGCCGCTCGGGACCTGAATTCTCTGAGCACAGTTCGGCAGCAAAGTGCCGCGCGAAGGGATAATCTCGAATTCGTTGTTGGGAGGTGCCTGCTACGCCGTCGATGCGTAACAGCTTCAGACAAAATCGAGCACAAGAAGCGCCCGAGAAGGGTACGCACTGGGCACATCATTGAGATTGATTCGTTGCGATGAGTTGATGAGGAAGATCCACCAGGTGGAAACAAACCTGGGACTTTGGAAACAAGATCGTGCTGACACGTTGTTGACCTACCCACATCGGCAAATTGACCTTGGGACAAACACACGAACACATATTAAGGTCCTTGATATATATATATATATAATATATATATATATACGGCAACTGTGGTCGAGATCCTTGGATCAAATCCCCAGTCACAAGCGGTGGATGAAAAGAATGTATGGCAGAGCCCACATTGAATGCCCAAATAAGAAACACGCTTGCTCCTGGAGCCTGGGAAAAAGCACGCGGTAAAACACCGTTGAAGATCCCAACGAGCTCTGCAAAGATGAACGGATGGCGCACCGTCGCTCTGTCGCTCCGTTAGACGGATCCCAAAGGAGTTTGGTGACATCACATTATGTGGTAGTTGGCTTTTCATCAAATGTCGGAATATGAGCATCACAAAGCCTTGTGATTGGAAATCCACAAACCTCTTTCTGGCCACGGTACTATCCCACTTAGAACTCATACTAGTTCATTAACTCTCAGCTGCTGCCAATCCAGCTCCGCCACACTCCGCCACGCTCGCTGCCTCATCACCTTTTACTGTAAGAGTATAGTAGCAAGGAACCTGACGCGAAAGGACGTTCGGTGAACAGCAGGGACTTGACCTTGAAGGGATAAATGTGGATAAGTGAAACTAAGCAAAGTAATGTCTTCTCGAAAGGTACATCATCTTGACCTATGGGTCCACAATGTCTACAGTGATATGTTACAATTAGGTTCTCCACATATACTCTCAAAAGACAACTCTTTCATGAGACATGCCAAAGTCCCGAGCGCCAGAGATAAGCCAATTGCCCTCCAAATGCAGTGTCAAAAGGGGCACGATCGTCTGTAGGTGCCAAAACCAACCCGGCCCGCCCCTCCACATGTGCTGCTGCGCGTGTCCCTTCAATAATTAGGAATCGGAAGATTGGACCTTGGGATCTTGTCCTTTATTCCACACAAAATGTTGGGATGTGCGAGGATCTTGGATCTTCCCTTCTCTCTTGGAGAACCGAAAAGCTCAGACATCATTTCATACCCCTCCAATTCGTGCCACTCCGATTCGTCTGATCCCCAAAGAGCGGATCTCCTCGGACGTGTTCGTGAGCGTCAGCATCCTGGAGTTTAGGAACCCGAAGCTCACCTGGACGGCTCCAACCGCGCGTGCGCGGCACGACGTCGGGGCCGGGAGTGGCTGGGGAGGGACGGGCGTGAAAGAGGAAAAAACGGTGGAACCATGAACTTCATGACCTCGGAACCATCGAAAAATGTCGACATATCTGAAAGATGCCCACTCATGTTCAGCTCATGTTTTGCTCATATCTTTTTGCACACCAATGGTGGGCGTTCTGCAGATGCTTGGAATTAGGAACCTAGCTTCACTCATATATAAATTACCCACCGAAGTGGGAAACCAGGCATGGAGGTACCAATTTCCATGAGGCCGCGAAAGGTGCTGGTATAGAGGGTGTCTGGTGAAGGATTCTGCCGCTGCCGAAGATTCGACCTGTCAGGGTCGAATGTGACCGTTGGCCCAGGGACCTCCCCAGGGAAATGTGAACAAAAACGCGTGTCAAATCAATGCATGGGAATCCAAGAAGCCCAAAAAGTTCTGACATGAAAACTCCGTTATATATGTAACCAGGACCTGAAACACACCTCAAGACATTTTCTCAACAGAAAAAAAACACGTGAAAAGAACCTTCACACGGTACAGTAATTGCTGTCCAGCGTTAATATACGAGTCACTGTGCCGAAGTTGATCTTGTCCACATCGAATTCAAACCTTGGTGTGTTTTTGTACAGAAGGGGCGTCGGAGCCGACTTCAAGGGGAGTCAAAGGGCTTGACTCACCGTTTTGACATCATTTTGCATGGGTTTCAACATCCAGAAACACATCCAAGTGGTCGTCGTCCGAGTAGAAGCCTCATTGCAAAACATGCACCCTGGCGGAAGAGTTCTGTAAGTACAGGTTTGTAAAACGAGGGCAAGACCTTGAACAAAACTCCAAAACCACCGGGGACACTGGAGTTGAATGCTTCCAACTTCAAAACGGATTTGTGCTCCGTCCCGATACACGCTTTCTAGACACTCTCGATGAACACCTTCCACCAAGCGCCACTGGCAAGAGCCAAGAAGTTTCATATAGTTTCATGCTACTGTGAACTTTGGTGTCCGGCACAAATGCAGGTGATGAAACATATAAATCATCTGTTGAGTCCTCCTTCGAGTCCAGAAGCATGACACACCCCCAAGATTTCCAAAGTATAAGGGTGACCCAAAAGAACCCACAGGGCTGCTGCCGCTGGGGTCATGATGTCACAGGTCGTATCCTCAAAAAAGTGGGCACACCACAAATGGCTTAGTATTCACAGCGTTCTCTACCGGCCGGCCTTACGGCCCACACCGCGGTGTCCCGCGTGCTGCGCTCGCTCGGGGCCGCGGAACTTGGGTCGCACGGAGGTGCCGCGGAAGGCGAGCGTCACCGCCTCGGGGTCGAAGAGAAGCGGAGCCCCAAAGCTGGGAAGGGAAGGGTGGGAAAGCACCCAGCCTGACTTGGTGCATTCAAGATCTATAGAACAAAAAAGAATCCAAGAAGCACCAGGCTACGGACATGCAATCTTTTAAACGGTCAACGGAAACAGTATAGATAAATATATAAATATACAAATCATGACATGTCATGAGGCCCTTCCACCTACCTATCCTACCTCCACCCCACCTTTCCAGTCACAACTATACCTCTCACTCAGGTTCCCTGCGGCGACAAAGGCCTGGTGTAGAGGGGTCACTTCCACTTTGTGGAGATAGAAGCACTGAAACCGATCTTTTGTTATTTTTGGTTGGTCTTCCTTTCCTGCCCCCTCTAACGGGCAACCAGTCCTTTATGATGAAGCGGTCTTTGGGGTAAGCTGTGGAGGCAAATCAAATTGGACAAGGTACTCACTCGGACAAATCGGACAGGACAACACAAATAAATCGATAATCTATACTTTGGACCGAGCCCACCCCTTCTGCCCGATCTCGATCACGCTAGGCTTCCCCACTGTCGCGCTACCTTGCAGCGCCCATTCAAATACCTGCTTCGTTCGGCGAACAAATATGGTGTGAAGTACAACATTGAATCGTTTCTCTTAGTTTCAATTTGAATCCGTGGTACACAAAGAATCACATTTTATATAGATTAATACAACAAATAGACTATTTACGAACCAAAACTAAAGAAAGCTTCAATCAGCCGAACCCTCATGAACTGGATGCTGAACTCGGCGTCCAGTAAAAGACATAGCAACATCTGTTGAACATCCAGCCAAAGAACCACACGGACGTGGCCTCCCGATCCCCCAAGCTCCGTGCCTCATGGAAGGGTCCAAGCTCCTTTGGCTTGAAATCCACAACAATCTCACACTGACCACCCACCTGAGGCGTCCATCTGATCGCGATGGAAAACTCCCAGAACCAAACTTGAGCGAGGAATAACTGTGAAAGGAAGAATTCCTGTACCAGCATGTGATCACTAGTCACTACAGGGGAAAGCATTGTTTGTGATTATTGTGATTGACTAGATTCTATATTTTCATAACATCACATTTACATAATACATGTACAGTTTAAACTAACATTACATTTACATTTAGTTATTAAACGTCCTTCAAACATCTGGATATGTCTGCAGAACTCACGGATTCGCCCCCATTTGCGCGGTTTCCCGGTGTCCATTGGTGTCTCGGACCTTGACTCACTGAAGGGGAGCCGTCGGTGGCACTTTCACTGCTTGGAATGCTTGAGGAGTAGACCATGACTGAGTGAGACATGAAACATGGGGTGCGCACCCTGTGGCTGTTTGTGATTTCCATGGATTTCTGACTGTTTGCACAAGTGATGCGACTCCCACTAGTTCTTCTAGTAGAACGTCGGATTCGACTGGTGAACAAACATGTACGAGGCCATGGGAGAACAGCCTCCAGAGAGCATAGGTGGAACAGGGTGGAACCAACGACACTCCCTGATACAGTAGACAGTAGGGGAGAGGTTGAAACCTGCAGGTTCGAGGCGGTGATGAAAACCCATTGACAACCTGTCACGGTTGTGGTCGTAGAAACGACATTATGGGTTCCTTGAAATTCCTCATCCAGGACGTCAAAGGGATTCACTGAGGACTTCACTGAGTACTGAAGCAATAAGGTTTCACCTTTGTCACCCAAGTGTTTGCTCCAAAAAAAATACTTCAGCCGCATGCCGCATTCCTAAGTTCACTGGGGCCGTCGGCCGCGATGGTGCCATGGTCTGGAGTGAACTTGAACCTGGCGCCATGTCCGAATCGACATCCGAAAGAAGGGATGTCCGAAAGAAGCGAATCCCAAAAGGCCAAACAGGGATAAACAGGGAACGCTTCTTGCTACGAGTAGCGATGCAGCAATGCACTTGTTACTAGTAGCTTCTTGATCCTAGTAGTAATGCCACGAGCTACTAGTACGTAGCTTCTTGCTACTAGTAGCAAGGTGCCTTAAAAGTAGTAACCAGCTACTACAGTGAGTATTATATAAGGCACCTTGCTACTAGTAGCAACGCAAGTTGCCACAGGCCGCAGATCGCAGATTGCCGTCCCGCTTCCTGCACCTCCGATACAGCTTCCGATACTACTTGCGACACTACTACTTCCTATACGCTGACCTTCTCCAGTTTCCCAAATAAAGTGCCAACATGTGCAAGCTTGCGCTGAGCCCTGCTTGAAACTCTTCGTGAAATGGCTACCTGGTTGGTCGTTTTAACCCGTGAAACACGCCCGTTCGTGGGATCAATCATCCCAAGCCCAAGTAAACGTTGGAACATTGATCAAAATATCTGAAACCACCACACTAACCACCACCTATAGGCTACCATGTTGGCTCCCCCAACTCACTCGTCAACGACAAGTACATGCTGCTCAATGCTGAAAATCGTGCCTCGGGGCGAACTTGCCTTCCCGATGCACAAGCCGAAAGTCGAATTCGATGTCGCCCTGGTTCAAGAGCTGCACCTGCAGGAAGGACATCCGGTGGGGACGACCGGGGCACCGGGGCACGGGGAAGGTTGTTGGAGGTTTTTGGGGGTCCAAACATTGACATGTGAAATTTGTTGGCATGGAAGCTGCAAAGCTGAATTGAATTTGGATTGGTAAAATAATGGTGAAACAATGTGAAACTCATGGTGAAACCTATCATTCATAGAGCGCGTTTTTACTGCACGGGGTTTGAGGGTGTGATGCATGTTGTTGCTCTGAAACGATGAACCAAATCGTTGTGCTTGATCCTGTCGGGTCTTGCAGGAGTGGTGATATGCCTGATCCAGGTTCTCATACTATCCAAGAAAGCCACGCACACTGGACAGCATCGAATGAGGTCCTTGGCCATTTGCTGGACAATGCTGAAGCCGCTTAAGAAACAACAAAATAAAACATTGTGCTGTTTTGAACTATATAGCTGCCAGATTGGGAATTTGTTGCCAGACAGTCGATTCTTGGCCGCTTGAGATAAAATGACTTCAATCACTTCAAGCTAACACAATCGGTGTGTCTTTCAAGAACTGCAGTAGTCAGCAAAACGTAGCCGAAAACACCCCTGCAGTCTTGAAAACCCCAGAGATGGTGGGTGGGTTGAAAGTTGAAACTGAAACCCGTGTGAGACACGAGCGCCTGCTTTGGCTCCCCCCCATTGCCCAACCAACCTCATATCGATGCGCACTCTCCACGAAGACATTCCCGACCTCACCAGTGAGTACGGAGCTTGGTGCATAACGGTCTGACCCAAACACTCCATGTATGCTGCTTGATTGCAGCGTTTTTTGTTTTTCAGATTGCACATCCAGCATACATGGATCATCATGGATATCCTTGGCATCCCAAACATCCAGCTCGTCATAGGAGAAGGTGGCTTTCGGCCCAATGCCCAGTCCTTTCAGCACCAGCGGCGCGCGGTCCTGCGGTCCGCAAGGGACGAGTGCGGTCCGCGCGGTCCAGGCAGGCGGAGGTGGAAGCTCGATGAGCCTGTGGGCCGGCAGTTGTGACTTGATATGGAGTGGGAATCTGTAGTGGAATCATGTGGAATCACTCGTCTATAGGTTGTTCACATTGAAGATTGAGGGCTGGGAAGATAGTGAGCGCAACAAGTGCTCCTTGTGGAGCTTCCTTGAAGGGCAAACTTCAATACTCTTCAATCACACGCTCCCCCGCTCCCCTAATCCTTCTTTTGATTCATATCAAAATGGAAGTCTGCCCCAAAACCATTCCCTATACACCGGCCACAGGTTGCTTTCCGGTGGCCGTTGTGATCTTCTTTCGCCCCACCGACATCGTCACGTCCTCCTGCCCCACCGCTGACAGGAAGGCGGTGGCACAATAGACCAACGCATCCTGTCGGTCGAAAGGGTCGGAGCATGTCGGACCCCAGGACCGAGACCCGTAAAAGGGTCGGTAGGTGTAGGACATGGACACATTCCAGAGTAGGTAGAGAGGAAAAGCACGACATATTTTGTGGACACATGTTTATATAATATATAATATTGGGCCCCGACATCATGAGCGTCCACTTTGGTGTGCACACCATTTGCTTCACACAAATATCAAAGGACATCGGATAACAATGCACAGTTGTAGTATATATATATATACTCCCAGAATTGTTACAAGTCAAGTCCTCACTTGTTTCTTCGAGTTGGAGATGCTTCCCACCTGCCTCAAAGAGACCTATTTTCAGAGTTTCATAGCTTCATTCCATGGGTCCTATGCCAATGCACCTTGGTGCCGCAACATCTCCAGAGACCCAAAGTGAATCTGCCAAACCATCAGGAGCAGAAACAAACCATTCACATAAGTACACATACACATAAGTACAGCCTAGAGCGTTCCAGGTACCATCTTTCACAACTTGGATCCAAACTGCAAAACAGAAGAAACGCATGAGATGAACCTGTGCGTTTTGAGCGTTTCGCCTTGGGAATTCACCCGTCCCATCGGCCCAATGTGCGTGAAGCAGCACCTTGGGTAAGAAGCAGCAGGCGCAAGTGACCTGCGTCTGTGGCCTCGGTTCCCGTGACCGCCAGACGACAGTCCGGTCGAAAGGACGGCAAATAGCGAGGGATTTGGGCCGACCTTCTAGTTTGAGAATCGGAGAGCGAACCCGTCTACCAAGAGTAACTGCATCTACCAAGTACGCTGGAACACTTGGAGGTCATGGTCGTCCCATCAACTCGTGGGAGCACCAGGTGGTGCAGAAGAGCTTCTCCTGCAACAACCACTAACAAAGAGTGCTGAGTGTCTTCTTGCACGTCCAAACACAGCTGAAGGGCCAGTGCAGGGAGTGTCCTTGCAATTAAACAAATAGAGGGATTTCACTGGACATTCGACAAGAATGATCACGTCGTAGACTTTGTGTTGGTGTTGTAGATCCTGCGATGCCTAAATGTGGGGCTAGCTGGTCGTCAGGAGAACTCGTGAGATAGTAGTGAGCACATTCACAGATCCTGCCTTCAGAACACAACGCATCGTTTCAACTCCACAGGTTTTAACTCCCTCTATAAACGATCAATCCCAACCTACCCCACCAGATCTCGGCTCCCGCCGGTCGCCCGAATGGTCGTCCCGGTGGTCGCCCCATTCCCGGACTCCCGGGTCCGACGAACTCCGGAGCCGCGAGGCCACAGGCGGCCACAGAGCGGCTCGATCTTGAAGATCGCGTCACGAAATAGCATGGGGTCCTCGCGTCGCGCAGCGGGACGCATGACGTCACAAGATGCGATGCGATGCGGAAGGGTTGCTTCAGGACCGCCGAGGATTGCGAGGATGCGTCGGGATGGAAGGGATGAGGATGGAGGATGGAGGGGGGTTTCAAAGGAGAAAGACCGCCGATGGACCACGCGGAGTCGGGTGGTTTTACAGGGGGTTCGGAGTAGATGGCACCAGCTTACACATAAAATAGCCAGTTGCGCCCCAGCTCCTCAAGATGGATGGAAGGCAGTTTGGCTTGAATTCTTGGATCCATGGACTTCCATATCCAAGAAAGAGAACTGTCGGGGTTGGTGCCGTCTCCTCTGAAACCACGTCTTTGGCGGGTAGCGAACGAAGCATCGGACGTCTTTGGGCCAATGGCTTTGTCATGCTTGCTCTCCAAACAGAGGCCTGTATTGTTAAGTCCTCATCAAAGCCAGATGAAGGGTCCAAAGAGAGTTAGTTGGACTATGTTGGCTGGGCGAAGGAAAGGCAAACAAACCCTGCCTAAAGGCTGTCCCTGGGTGTGAGTAGACACGGTCAAGAGGGAACCTGTCCCGCCTCATGGTGTGAGTGTGTGTTGCGCGGTCTGTCCAAACATCCCGCCGGCCGTCCATGTAGCTCCGTCCGCCTTCCAAACATCACTTTTCACATCATTATGGACAAGATTGCCCAGAACAGTAGGACATTTATGGAAAGTAGAGATGTATACCGAACCAAATATATGTAATTTCTCATTAACTATCAGACTATCATTCTATAGATGCGTCATCAATGCCATTCTTTTCATGTTCCACAACTGCGCCCCCCCTCTGTTGGACATCGATTCGGGTTTGGCGTTTCACCGTGCAAATCACTCCTCCTCCACAGCCTTCATAATGGAGTCCTGAAGTGTTTTCGGGAGTAGAAACAACACGGGTGACGAGTCGGTTCCACCACGAGTCACCAGTCACGAGGGGCGAATGGAGATTAAATCGGTCTGAAAAACACTGATTTGTTGCAGATCTTTGTATACATAGCATCTCAGAGCCTCCTCATGACCGCGCCATGCGGTTCCTCAAGGTTCGGGACTGAAACCGACTGCTTCTTCAAGGCAGAATCCGAATGGATAGAATACCATCCGATTGAATCTATACTGGAAATCTAGAGTCGAGTTGAATGGCAAGTAGATATCATCAAAACAAACAAATGGTATTGACCATCAGGCCATCAGGTTTCTCTAGATGTATATATATATATATAACTGTATATGCACATAGTTCATATAATAGATATAACTATATTAGTGAATCAGTGTTGTGCGATCAAAAAAAGAATGTCCCTAAATAAAAATCATCTGCTTCAGTTCTGTGGTTCAACAACACATCTGACAGTAGTTTTCAGAAGCAGAACCCCCATACATGCATTAAATACGTGTTCCTGCTTTCGCATCCAAAAATTGCAGGTTTCCAACTTCTCAACGCAGCACTCTGGAGACATACCCAGAACTTCTAATGACTCATTTGACTCCATGCCATACTTATAATCCACAACTACCATAGGGGTAAAATGAGGCATTTGGACTCTCATGGATACCACTGCCATACACCCCGGAGAACCCCGGTTTTTGCGGCCCGAGAGTCATACTTCCGACCCAGCAATTTCGTCACCTGACAGGCGAAAAACCCCCAAAGGTGGACTGGGAGTAGATGGAGATGACTTGCCAGCGACATGGGTGCAAGATCCGTTTTGCTGTGGTGGTTTGCTAGCATCGTTTTGCTGGTTCCGGTCGTTCAGGTAAGCCTTTGGTTTCGGATCCGCAAGAGAAATGGCCTAGCAGACGGGTACAGAAACATAAAACATTGGTTTCAATGGGGACTGGGTGTATGGCACTTTGTTTCACAAAGGAGTGCACTGTTTGCAAGATGTTTTGATTCATCGTCGCAATGTTTTACCTGCTTTCCTACCACTTTTCCCAGCCATGCATTCCCAAACCCAAAAACGTACCCTATAAATAATTTGGTGGTTTCTATGGTTATAAAGTGTTCTTTGTTTGAGTGTCTTTGTTTTACCCGCGTCTCAAAATGTCCGAGTCCGAATCCTCCACTTCCAACCAGTCCGGGTACCAGTAAATGTGTTTCACTTTTTGGATGATTTGCGACGCACCTGGTGTGTTTGCAGCTTGCGACCTTCACGTGTCAAGTGCCCGTTACCACTGGGCGTACGAAGTCCGTTAAGGGTTGAGATGCAAACTCATGTCGAGAAACCATCGACTTTCCGGTGGTGTGTTGCCATGTTTTTGTTGCCCAGCCTAGACACACTAAGCAATTTGTCACAGTAGATTTCTGTGTTGTCACCCCCAAATTGACCGCCTCATCAACCAAGCTCAAATTGGTAAGTGTTTTCTGGCACCGTTTTACAAAACAAGTGACAGTGCAAAACACGTAACAAGAAACACAAAATAAAAATGCCAGAACCAAAACAAATTGACGAAGGACAAAAACACACAACATGACAAGATAATGACGTAACTGTGATAATGAACATGACACATAAATCGCAAACAAACAACAATAACATCGGGTGCGTGAAAGCACGATGACAAATAAAACGACTAAAACCAACTAAGAACACCAAACATAATGAGAAACAATGAAAAACAACAACAACATATTTTAACGTAACCATTGGGTTTCCTTTGAGTCTATGGCTGCAAAAACATCTAACATTCCATGAGTTATCCTTTAACAACCCCACGTCCGCCCACCAAAACGGACGTCGAAAGGTCTGAAACCTGCTCGTAGGTCAGTATCAAGGCGTTGGTCTCAACATATTACAACTATACATATATGAAAATATCACAATCAGGCTTGAACTGCCAACTCTGGTTCCATTTGGTCTTGTCCACCTCCAAAGTTTTCCTCTCGGCACCCGCTCTCCGGGCCTTCCGCTCCCGCCGCACGCGCCGCCGCTCGCCATCCGAGCCGCTCTCGCTTTCCTCATCCTGCGACGGCACCGACAGCGCAGCGGTGGACGAAGTGGACCAGCGAGGTCGAGGACCGTTCCGGCCATTCCGGGCGATGCCGACCCGGAAGGCATGAGGCGAGGCTAAAAGAGGTCAAACCCCCCAAGGCTAGCTGAATTGCGCAGGGAACACAACGCGGAATGGTTTTGTATGTTTTCGTTTTGCTGTCCAATCACCAAATTGGAGGGACCACTGCGGTAAGACTCGGTTGGTCCACATCTTGTGCTCAGGTTTCCGAATCAAAACCTTTTGGACACAGACCGCTCGAACAAGACACAAACGTGTTTCTGATCGTGGATCCCCAAACAGCAACCAAAATACCCTGGTCATACACATGCGAAGCGACTCGGAATACCTTCAAATTGCCACTGCGGGCCTCTGAGAGGTTGGCTTGCTGCATGTAGAGGAGCTGGCAGGCAACGCAAGAAGAGGAAACAAATCGTGACAGAGTCCAATACGGTCGCCTTGATATTCATTGATTTCTCATGTATACGTATATTGCCGTATATTGTATGTTTGTACATTTAGACACTCTTATGCCAACAAATACAATGTTTTTCCTTGCGGGGGGAAACGTCAAGCAATTTGCAGCGCAAGTGCGCAATTTGTCTTCAGGAATTTTGTGCCCGGAATTCGGGTGAAACATTCTTCGCCATATTGCAACACCCTTGGGTCATTTCAGGCATCGAGGACCAATCTTTCCATCGGCTACTAAGCGGTGGCAAGGATGGCTTTGCCACTCGTGCCATGCCGGGCTCGGAGGGAACAAGGTGAGAATAAAGAGGAGCTCCGGACAGCTCGGGCCCGGAATGGACCAGGGCAAAAATGTCCTTGTAATCGGTCTCCTCAATGGTGTCTGCTCCAAAGCCGATCGTTTGCAGTCGTAATGCATATAGTCTTCACTTCTTGTTGGTCTCGGTGACCAGGAGATTTGCCAAGAAACCTCAAGTTTTCTGAAGTTTCTTCGGGGCTCCTTTCACCTTTCTCCAACGGAGAAGACCCAAATATTTAGCATTGAAGTCCATAAGGAGGCATGTCTATAAGGAGGCCGGCACGAACTTCCTTTACAATTTTGCCTTCATATGCCACATCCTTGGCACTTGGGCCAACCACCTTCTGAGCTGGCCTGAGTTGGTGCAGCAGGAGCTCTCAGACTTCCCTCAGCGCCAGGATTTGCTCTTGGGAGGTAAGTTTCAGAACGCACCTCACCTTGGTGGAACGGTGACGGACGGTTAATGATTGAAGGTCTTAACGCACAAGTACATGGTCACATGGTGCTTAAAACTCAGCCATGGTGCTTTGATTCTCTCTTTTTTGCTTTGAATGGCTTTCAAACAGCATTTGCATCTTAGTAGTTGCCTCCTGACCTTGACGTACAGAGAAGGTAACAAATTGACAACAACTCTGGAGCCAGGATTCCGATTTCAATTATTAATAGTGATAGTGATGGCCGTAGGAGCACATTGTCAGAGACAATATGAGGAAAGGGAAGGTCCTTCGTGCTGGAGCTGCGGGTGTAAAGAGACGAAGTGAATGAAGGGACCGAAATCTGCAGAAGCAGCTGGCTTTGGGTGTTGCTTCCCAGAGCTCCTTTGCTTCGCATGCTTGCAACTGGCTAAGCAACTGTCGGACACGTTGTTGTGGCGCATCTTTTTGTAGTCTTCGGACAAGCAATCCTTCCGCTTCATACCCTATTCAGCTTCTGAGCCACTGGCTACTGTCGGGACGGCGACCGTGAGCCCCAAACATGCTTCGCAAGAGCAGTGAATGGGATGGACGAAAAATACATCTGCCTCCGTTCGGATTAGCTGCAAAAAGCCGAAGCAAAAAACTGGAACTGTCTTCTTCGTCTTCGGCGGAAAAACAAATGCACTTTCTTGTGGGTGACATCTGTAAAGTGCTGTAGGAAAACAGCTGATCACAAAAACGTCCACGATCAAGGGCTCTGCAAATTTTGTAGATCTCCAGGGATCAAAGAAACAAATCTGTCAAAAAGAAAGGAACCGATCCGGCATGTTCTCCCTTCAACAGGCTGGATCCAGCATGACAACCAATGAAGTCCAACATATTGATATCATTGATCTTCACACTGTTCTGATATAATTAATGATTACTGAAAGAAATCTAAACTGCAGGACTCCGATTCTTCGCTAAACAGCGCCTCATCCATCTCCTCCGTCTTCAGCTGCCGATGCAAAGCAAGCCTGTCGTCACGCCACATGTGCCCTCCAACGATTCCTTTGCAAAGAGTACACACAAAAAAGTAACTCTGGATCTTCAAAAATGACTATGATCATTGAACTTTTGTGGCAGCCGTGGCTAGTGTTTTACTCCAAAAATCATGAGACAGGGAGTGGGAGTTCTGGTGCCGGCGGGATAATATATTACATACAGTATACGTGTTGTCTTGTCCCATGGGTTTCCAGCCAATGGCAAATCTCTCTCCAGAAAAAAATGCACGACATAATCAAAAATAATCCAAGAAACAATTTTCAGAAAATGAGAATAAGTATAATGAATAATTAGGGGATCCACCTACTATTTTTCGCATCAAGAGATCTGGATGAAAAGGTCTCCCACAATTTCACGATTTACCAGCTGAATGCCCCAGCCGCGCAAGCTTGTCCCGTGAACTCGGGCCAAATTGTTCTGCTCGACCTGTTGGGTCGCCAAACGCTGAGGTTGCGAGATCCACCCGAGCAGAGATGCTTTTGGAATGTCAAAGAAGTGCACCCCCCCCAACGAACGACCAGAAGCGCCATGCTGCGCCTGTGCTGCGCCTCCTCCACCGTCGAAGAGAAGAGCCGCCAACTGTGGCGTTGTCCGCGAGGGTGACGGGAAAATATGGGTGTGTATTTGAATAGGGAGACCCCCCAACCAATGGCTTTTGGTGTAGAGTCCATGCCGCTTCTGGAAAGGGGGTCGATCTGGGAGGTCTCCCTATTGCAATGCGCGTACGCTTTGATCAATCAGTTGACCAAAAGAAACACAACAACTGATTATATAGAACATATTAGAACTGATGACTTGCGCGGGTCATCTGGGAAACGATTTTCATATGCGTGAAAGCGTGTCTGGCTTCTAAGGCTTCACTTCAAAAAAGTGGACGGTTTCCCTGAGTCAAATTCCATGTTTCGAAAACGAGGAAAACATCACTCCCATAGGGGCCGATCAAATATCACCAAGTATATCATATTTTGCCTGGCTTCGCATCAGCCGTAACTGACAGCTGCCGGTTATGTCACATTTTAGGGTTCAGGCTCTGGGTTTAGATACTTTCGTCGAGCAAGCGAAACCCTAATCACTTAACTTATTTATATACTTCTGAAGGTTTCCCACAACCCTAGACGTGCTGTACTTTACTTGGACCGGGCTTAGGGTTATACAAGGCCAATGTACTGCCTGAACCCTCCGTCGTAGCAGAAAAAAAAGTGACAGAAAAAAACTGCACATCATCAAAAAAAGCGTTCATGCCTTGAAAAAGCGTACCACTGGAAAGTCAGATGTAGCTTCATTCCACCTTATGTGGTCTTCAAGTCCATTCCCCTGCCACATGCTGGCACCCATCTCATGCGCACACAACACACGCTCACACACTACGAAGCGGCAGCCAGCAACCCCTTTCTTTGATCGTCAGTATCAACATACGTAAAATATTTAAGTAAAAAAACAATCCGCCACTGTTTAAATTGCGCCCGGGTTGCGGGAATTTGCGCCCGGGTTGCAAACGGACATATTTTGCTCTTGACTTGGAAAGGATTGAGGGTTTAAGGGGTTATGGATGTTTATGGGTTTAGGAAGGTGGGCTACAGTCCCTGATCCCTGAATCTAAAATTCATCTTCGAAGCTTTTGAGAACCATTAATATTGAAAACTTCACCAAACTCAAGAGTTCAGTTTGGATAACTCTCCAAGCTCAAGTCAAGGGGGGGTCGCAAATTTCCCCCACAAAGGCCTGAGGTTGGAGAAACCTCCGAACTTGGCTTGAGTTTGGATGAATTTCCCAAGTCACTGAGTTTGGAGAAGTCTCCAAATTCGGGCCTTGAGCTTGGAGAATTCTCCCAAGTCACCCAACAAGGAACACAAAAATGTTCTCCAATTATCATGCAAATCAGTAGAAATCCATTTGATTTGGAAATCCTTTAATGTCGCTGTGCTGTTGTTCGGCATAGCCTATATATATATAGTTATATATATATATATTATACAGCCTTTATAAAGTCGGACGGTGGACATGTGACATGTTAGTCGGTCAAAACACCTGATCAGCTCCCCAACTACTTGATCACGCATATTGCTTGGAGACAGCACACCCGTGCAAGTTATCAATTATAATTAGAACTCATTGGAAACCCCATAAGGTTCCTCAAAATTAGGCAAAATTCAATCCTCGAGCTTTGCCCAACAAACTGCCACAGTCTGACACTCAATGACTCCAACGGCGTTCAGCAACATCAAGTTCGGCCGTTGGACACTCTTTTGAGTTCCCTGATGAGGCTCCTCAGGATTTCAGTCACTTACAGGGGGATCAGATCGTCTGAGGAGCTATGCCTCGATTCTTTTAGTCCATCCACCACCTCCGAACCCCGCCTGAAATCAATGGGCACATCCGAGTCGTTGCGGATGGTGACCACGCCTTGCGACTCCAGGCCCACGTACGTGTCCTGCCACGCCCCAGGCTCGGCGCAGGGCACTCGCGGCGCGTTTTTTCGGCGTCGAGTGGCTCGGCTTCCAGGCTCCGAACGGGTGACGATTCATCCAATTCAGAAGAGACGTGGAGCCGAAGGTGATGGAGCAGACACAATTGACTATCGAAACTTTTTCAGAAAACACGTTCTCCATTCTTCCAGAAGGATTGAGCGCAACTGTGCAACAATGTGATTTACTCACCTGAAACGATCTTGAATCTTGATACTCGGGAAAATTACTGATAATGGTATCAAGGTGTGAACAAAGGGTGAGTGATGTCTTGTTTCTTGCCTTCTGTGACAAGTATTTCCAAACTCAGGATCAGAAGATAGTTTCTGCCTAAACTTGCCCGCAGTGATGGTGCTCAATTTAGGATGCTAAAAGTCGGTCTATCTGTGTCACCCCCATTTTGTCTGATGCTACAGCACCTTTTGTTGCAATGCATTGCAATGTTTATATCGTATACACATGTATACACGCTGATGGTATCTTCTTGTCCACAGGAAATGACTCTCTCCACCTGTTTCTCTCAGACTTCTTCTGATGCCTGCAAAAAAGAAAACACCACGTATAGCATCATCATCATCATCTGCGACTTTTACCGGTGATCGTCTCTTTCCCGTGTCGTCTCCCAATTCCCGTGGTCGTCGGCTTCGGTCGCAGAGTTGGACGGGCTCCTCGATGAGTAGCAAGCTGTGAGACAGTGAAACCTGAATCGGGAGAGGTCTGGGGCGGGAACAGGAACTTGGGGCCCGGCCGGTCTCGGTCTGGGGGAGCCCCCGCGGTCTCGGTTCAGTGAACAGTCAAGAACATGGTGCGGTTTGGTGGAAGACCTCCATCATCTTTTTGGAGGAACGTGGTCTTTTTGGGCGCCCAAAACGAGTCTATAATCATTCCATGTGTTTTTGTAGGATCCAAACCTCCGGATCCAGTATCGTCACAAGCATTCGTCCGGAAGCGCGGGATCTGGCATTACACCGACTTGTCCAAAGGCGGAGCAAGAGATGTGTTGCAAGACATGGCAAGACATGTGCCCCAGCACTGTGGGGATGGAGCAACCTAGCTGTAGACTCACTGTAGACCCAGTCAGTAGCAGTTGTGAACAACACACAAAGTATCACAAAGTGGGCCTCGAACTTACCCATTGGCCAGGGTGCTCTCCCTTTTCGAATGAATGTCATTGAATGTCAAATGTCAAAAATCATTACGCAGCATGGTGCACATATTCGGGGACAGTGTCTTTGAAAGGAGCCATTTCACACAGTTTTGACTGTTTGCAGACCTGCCCCAAAGGGGTCACAACCACTCCGAAGGTCCCCTGAAAGATTGATCCAGGCCCATCTTTCATGTCGCATCAATTCAGTTTCGGAAAGACGAAACATGCAGCCCTCCCACCTTCTTATTGTGACTTGCAGGTTGTGCTTTTGAAGCTTGACGTTGGTGCTTGTTGCATGTGGTGGCGCCGCTTCCTTTTTCTCACTCGAAGGCATCTAGATGACCGCTCGCTCACAGCAGAAAACAAGCTGCTGCATTTTGCTTTGCTTTTGCATTGGCCCACACCTGGTTCTTTCTGTGTTGCTCTCAGGGAACCCTTTGGTTGTTTTGGGATTGGGCCCCCCCACGAACCCACATTGGTAGCGGAGCCCGAGGGCAGTTTGGGGGAACGCTTTTCTTCTAGGCTGCCTACTGCTTTCCTGCTGTAGCTTGACGCCATGGCTGCCATGGCGAACGGCGATCAACACGCCGAGCAGATGGAGACTGCTGTTGGCGCGGCAGCCGCTGTGCCCTTGCCGCCGGATGGCGGCGCAGATCCTTGGCAAGAGCCTGGTGGGGATCCATGGACTGGACAGGCCAACGGGACGGGCAATGAAGAGATGGGCTCTCCTGCCGTAGTTCCTGCACAGGTCACACAGACCATGGATCAAGGCCAGCCGTCGGCACCAACGGGTGAACCTGTGGTGTTAGGACCTTTGGCTCACGCTGGACAGACACAGGTCCAGCCACAACCACCAGGTTTGATGATGATGGATGGAGCTATGCCGGTGCCTGGAATGCAGCCACAGCACATGGCACATGTGGGGCCGTGTGTACCGCCAGGGTGGGGCTTTCCTCATGGTTGCATGCCACACCCCATGAACATGGCACCTCACCCAACTCCAGGGTTCGGCATGTGCAATGGATCACCACCTAGTTTTCAAGGACATCCACATCCATGCATGGGGCCACCAGTTGTTATGCCGTGGTCCACCTTTCCATGGGCTTGGTCTTCCCCAATGCCAGCACCCATCCCGGCCACCATGCCAGCAGGTCCAACCAGTCAGGCACAATCCGGCGTGCCGACAGGATCTGCTACAGGAGACAGTTGGTCCAAGCCTGCATCAGAGCAGGCCTCCAACACCAAGGACAAGAAACGCCCTGATCCGTCAGGGGCTCCTGATGATCCTGATGATGGCGAGGTATCCTCTGCACCGACCTCCGAGATCCGCTCCATGCTCAGGCAGAGGATCAAGAAGGATGGTGATGGCTCCAGGCCAAAGAGCTCACTTGGCTCTGTGCGCATTGAAGAGTACTATGGTGAGAGGTCTCGCTACATCAAATGGAAGCGGACCATTCAGGCTCAACAATGCCTATATGGCCTGGAGAACCAGGAGCTGGCGATGTTGGTGTACCTGAGTACACGCAAAGAAGCCCGAGACGTGGTGGAACAGCATCCGGTCACCTCCTATACCGGACCAGGCGGCTTGGCCTTGCTTTGGAAGGTCTTGGATGAGGCATTTGGTGAATCCGAGACCGAGCTGTTCGAGAGAGCTGACAAGGAGCTGGAGCGCTACCGCCGTGGCCCAGGTGAGAGCATCCCTCACTATCTGGCAGAGATGAGGCGGTTGAAGGCTCAGTACATGCGGGTCTCTGATCGTGCTTGGGCTCAGAAACTCCTTCACAAAGCCTCCCTCAGCAGAAAGGAAAGGTATGATGTCTACTACAGTGCAGGTGCTGTCTACGACCCCACTGCAATTGAGAAGGCTCTCCGTGTCCGCTGTGCTCATCTCCATCACGATGAGCGGCGAGCTCCTTCGAGGACACCGCATCGAGAAAGGGAGAAGGAAGATGAGGTTAGGACCTACAAGAAGAAGAAGGTGTTCATCAAGAAGCGCATCCACGGAAGCCATGTGGCTGATGCCACTGAAGAAGGAGAAGAGGATGATGAAATGCCTGAAGAAGAAGGCGGTGAAGAAGAGCCCCAAGGCCAACCAGGCGAGGATGAAGAAGGCGACTATGACGATGAGGAGGACAACATCACCAGTGACGGTGAAATGGATGCTGGAGATCTCAAGGAGGCTTTTGCAGCTGGATGGAAGGCCAAACAGAAAGTCGCCGACATCAAGAAGCAGAGGGGGTGGAAAGGCACTGAGAAGGACAAGAAAGGTGAGAAGACCAACATCGATGCCAGGAAGAAAGCCACGACCTGCAGTTCTTGTGGCAAGCAAGGACACTGGCGAGGAGATCCAGAGTGCATCAACGTTGTGAATGGTCGTGACCAGCCACACCGACAGGCATCCACGGTGCACTTCACCTTCGTTGCAGGCTCAGATGATCCAGGGGAGCGACAATGCCCTCAATGCCATTGGCCCACCACCGGAACAGCCAAGTTCTGTGGTGAGTGCGGTTTTGCTATGCCGCCGCTTGATGATCGCATGTCCTCTCAGGTGAAGCGAGAAGGTGGCGACTGGAGCGTCGTTGATGAAGGAGGAGGAGATGAACGCCCAGAAGGTTTCGGCTTCTCAGTCCGCAAGGAGTCGGTGGTAGGGGCAAAGCCAAAGCCCAAAGCCAAGGGCTATGCTCCTCCGGGCCATGTCCGTTTGAAGGGACAGGAACTCTTGGCAGCTCTTCCATCGATGACGAAGGAGGATAAGAAGGAGCTCCACAAGGCCCTACAGAAGGAGGAAGATGATGAGACGGAGAAGCGAAGAGATCTGTTCAAAAGAACTATGTCGGAGTACAGCTACTGGGACTATGACACCTATGAACCCACTGCCAGGGAACTGTTTCCAGATGCTCCTTGGAAGTATCAAGAGTGGAGGGCAAGACAGGAGGCTGAACAAGACCCAAGAGCCAGTGCATCAGAGGCCTCTGGAAGTCAAGGACCTGTGCCACCTCCACCAAGAAGCGATCGTCCCAAGGCTGTCAAGGACAAGGAGCTGGAAGCCTTTCGATGGCAGCTGTATCAGAAGCAAGTTCGTCATGGCAGGTGCATCCCTTCGACAGCAGCAGATTGGCCGACGGAAGCTCAAAGTCTATGTGCACACCCCTTCGAGAATCTCCGATGGTCAGCCAATGCAGAGGGTCACTTCGCCCGCTGCAAGTTGTGTGACCAGAAGCACGTCGTTTACTTCTCCAACCGCCATGGAGCTATGATGGTTCACCATTATCAACCTCCCGAAGGAGTTGGACCACAGACTAAGGTGTGGATTCGTGAGGATGAGAAGGCTTCCACCTATCGCTGGGTGAACAAAGGAGGACCAGCCACCAAAGATCAGGTGCGCTGTCGGGTGACCAAAGACATCCATGGCAATCTCTTGGAGCTCAAGCAGTTGACCGGTCAAGAGACACTCTCACACAGCCTTTGGATGGACCACCTCGAGCGCTTCTCACAGAGTTTTGGTATGACAGCCCTGACGTCAAGGAGGCAAACCATGTGCACTACATCCAGGCCCAAAAGCCTGGTTTGGCCATTGCTGATTCAGGTTGTCGAAACTCAGTTGGAGGTGAGGCCTGGCATGAGCATTTGCAGTCCGCTCTCAAGGCACATGGCATTCCCTGGTTGGAGATCCCAGAGAAGGAGGTCTACAAGTTCGGAGCCGGGGCACCGATCACAAGCACCACTGCTTGCCTCTATCCAGTTCTCATCCATGGCACCCCTGATGTCATTCGCTTGTCGGTGGTTGGAAAGGGCGGCTCTACATGTCCTGGTTTGATCGGGCCAGGGGAGCTCAGCAGATGGAATGCCGTCTTCCACTTCAAGGACAAGGAGATGGAGCTCAATGGAGTGAAGAAGGAAATGAGGTTGACGGCCACCAGACATCCGGGAGTGGAACTGGTGAACTTCGAGAAGGAGGCGGTGATGACTATGAAGGCATTCTGGCACTCACAGGAAGGTACCAGCAAGAAGAGGATCCTGCAGGACACCCCACAGTCCTATGCCTTCCTCACCGGACCTCATGAAGAAGGAGAAGAAGAGAGCTTGGAAGAAGTGGATGAGGAGGTGGAACCGGATCCAGGCAAGGAAGAGGCAGATGAGAGAGAAGAGAAGGTGAAAGCCTGGACGGAGCAGCTGGAGGACCTGGGCATCACCATGGTTCCAACCCATCAAGAAGAAGACGATGCCTCCAGCACAGCAACAGAGCAGTCGGAAGCTCATGCCTCCTCCACCTCTCATGAGAAAGGGGTTGATTTTGTGACTGATGATTCTGGCAGTGAAGAAGAAGCCGGAGAACACATGTCTCGCAGCTATGTGGCTGATGTCAAGACAGCCCACAAAGGCATCCGAAAGAAGCTCAGTCACACGATGAGGGAGATCAAGAAGACCTTTCAAGATGAGGAGGTACTCGAGGAAGAGGAGGCTAGGAAGGCAAAAGAGAGTCAGAGGCAGAACAGTGAAAGGAAGAAAAGGAAGAAGACCTGGACCATCGTGGAGATCTTCACCTGGACATGTGCCATCTCCATCATGGCCAACCTCCATGGATGGACTGCCTCAGAGCCAATTTCTCTGCCTCACTGGGACATCTTGAAGAGCGAAGATCGTGAGGCAGCGTTGAGCTACCTGGAGCAGCTGGATCCTGACGTGATGGTCATTGCATGGCCCTGCACTGTTTGGAGTCCGCTTCAAGCCTTTGGGAACAAATCCCCTTGGCAGCTGGAGAAGTTGGAAGAAAGAAGAGAGGAGCAGAGAGAAATCCTGGGCTTCGTGAGAGACGCAAGCCATGACCAGAGGAGGAGGGGAGGCTTGTTGCTTGGCGAAAACCCAAAGCCATCTCTCGCCTGGAAAGAGCCTCTCATCACTGAGGCCTTTGATGGAATGGGCTCCACGATCACTGACATGTGCCAGTTCGGCCTGCGACTCCCATCGGCCGGACCATTCCTTCGAAAGAGGACACGACTTGAAGGCACTCCAGCACTTGTCCGTCAACTTGGTCGCCTTTGTCCAGCAAAACATGAGCATACTCCAGTGCTTGGAGGCATGCGATACAAAGGAAAATGGATGAACGTGTCGGACTATGCTGGAGGCTATACGAGCCAATTTGTCAAGGCAGTGATCGAAGGAGCTGAGAAGATCCTGAAGGAGGAAGGAAGAAGCCCTGAAGTGCTGGTGGCAGGTCCCTCTTTCCCTGAAGAGGATTTGGAGGAGGAGCATGAGGAGGAGAAAGTGGCAAGGGTTGAGAAGCCTCAGACGTGGAGGATTGAACAACTCCATCAACGATTGGAGCATCCCACCAATCGTACCTTGTCGAAGATGCTGTCACTGGCAGGTGCATCGAAAGAGACAGTGGAGAAGGCGATGAACTATGAGTGTCCCACCTGTCAAGAGACTCAGCCTCCCGGGAGGTATCTCAAAGCGAGTCCAGAGTTGAGGACAACAATCTTTGGAAAAGAACTCCACTGTGACCTGAAGTACCTTCACGACTCCAAGAACAAGTTATATGTGGCATTGTCGATGGTTGATGGAGCCACATCTCTGCACCAAGCTGTCTTGCTTCGCAATCGTGCAGCTGAACACGTGGCCCAGAAATGCTTACGACACTGGATCTCAATCCACGGTGCACCACAGACCATGATCGTGGACCAAGGAGGAGAATTCGATGGCCAGTTCACCTCTTTCTTGGAGCAGCATGGAATCCACAGCAAGTCCAGTGGTGCAAAATCAGCTTGGCAACACGGCTTCGCTGAAAGGCATGGAGCACTCCTCGGCACCATGTTCACGTCCCTGGCTTGGCAGTATAAGGTCGAAGGAAGAGCTCAGGTGAAAGATGCTTTGTGCGCTGCAGTTCAAGCCAAGAACTCAACCATCACCCGAGGAGGATACACACCCTATCAGCTTGCCTTCGGTCGCCAGCCCTTGTTCCCTGACTTGCTGGAGGAGGATGTTGAGGGCAACATGTCACTGAGGGAGTCTTTGTCCCTTGAAGGAGAGGTGCAGAGGGCTGCAGAGATGAGGGCCGCAGCAAGGGCCACATTGCTCCGAGGTGATGTTCAGGCCAAACTGAGAAGAGCCCTACGAAGATGGCCAAAAGGGCAAGAGAGAGATTTTGAGCCAGGAGAGACGGTGTACTTCTATGCCCCGAAGCCTCTCAGCACACGGTTCAAGAAAGAGCCTGGCTTTTGGAGAGGACCAGCCCTCGTGATCGCCAAGGAGTCTCACCAGCGCTTCTTCATCAGCTGGCGAGGAAGATGTTTGCTGGTGTCATCTGCCAATCTAAGGGCAGCTTCCAATTTGGAAGGGGGGCGATCACCGTAAGAGGCTGCAAGAGACAGAGGAGTTCCAAGGTCAATGGAAAGGAGATGACAAAAGATATGAAGACATGACAGAAGCTCCCATCCCAATCGAAGAGGAAGTTACAGCAAAGGAGGCACAAGGGTGGGAAGCGCATGATGGCATCATCTCCCAACGCCTGGGAGGAAGGCCCAAGACGAGAGCAAAGGAGATAGCCAAGACCCTGAGAGGTATGAAGACGATAAAGACCATCCAGAAGCACAGGATGAAGAAGGATGATCGCTTGCAACTGGATGGCAACCAGGATAAACAGTTGAAGACCATGGAGCCGAAGGAGAAGTCTGAAGATGGCTCAGTCCGAAGAAGAAAAGTTCCAAGATCGGCTCAAGCAACACCTACTGGATGATGTTCCTCAGCAGTTCAAGAAGCGACCAGCCGAGGAGACTCCGGGTCAAATGACCGAAGACCAACTGGCCAAAAGATTTAGACCATCGTTCTTCTCCTACACGATGGTGGCCACCATCCAGAAAGGCGGAAGGAAAAGAGCCAATCAATGGGCTTCCAAGAATGAAGTCAGGAAGCTTCGAACCCTCCTCGACTTGCCCATTGCCAGTGCTCGCTTTCACTTCGGAGCACGCAAGAGGTTTCAACGGCCTGTGAACCAGAAGGGCATGGCGCGAGTGACGGTGATGATGGGAGAAGAGGAAGGAATGGCTCTGGTGAGTCAAGAAAGCAAAGAAGAGGTCAAGAAACGGCCAGGAAGGAAGACTCCATACTTATGGAAGGGAGTGACACTCTTCCTGCACCAAGAAGATACCAAGCCACCGGCAAAAGCCCAACCGGTGGTGGTTGAACTTCCTGATGGCCTATATGAGGTGATGGTGACAGATGCTGAAGAGTGGAATTCCCTGGCCAAAGGCGAGATCGAGAATCAAGCCTTCTTTGAGGCCCTTCTTCTCCAGATGAAAACCAACGGGAAGGAGCTCGATCCTCGCTTCTTCAACCAAGAAGAAAGAAAGGGATTTGAAGAAAGTGACAGGAAGGAATGGGAGTCCTGGGTGAAGAACCAGGTCATCCGCCGCTTGAGCCCCGATGAAGTCAAGGAGGTGAACAAGAAGAACATCTTCAAAGCCCCAGCCCGCATCGTTCGGGTGAACAAAGGAGCCATGCATGGGCTGTTCCAGCCAAAGTCGAGGATGGTGATCCCTGGCCACTTGGATCCACATTTGGGGCAGTTCAGGTCGGATGCACCGACATCGATGTGGGTCTGTGTGCAATTGGCCAAGGCAGTGTGTGCATATAAACACTGGATGGCCCTCACCTTCGATGTCACGACGGCTTTCCTTTCGGGAAAAGAAGTGGATAGAGAAGTGTTGATTCGTGCACCTCCTGAAGGCCTTCCAGCACTTCCAGAACACGGTGAAGCAGCCGTCAAGCCAGGAGAGCTTTTGAGGGTGGTTAAAAGTGCCTATGGGCTATCAGAAGCCCCACGTCTCTGGTATCTCCGAGCCCGAGAGCTCTTGCTGGAGATTGGCTTCGAAGAGTTGGCCATGGCAAAAGCCACCTTTGTGATGAGGTCAAAGAAGAGCCAAGAAGTACAGGCGATCCTCTGCCTCCACGTTGATGATGGCCTCCTGGTTGCAGCACCCAACCAAGCCCAGAAGATCCGCCAGGCGATCAGTGAACGATTCGCCATAAAGGAATGGAAGAACTTGGCGGAGACAGCAGAAACCTTCCTACAATTCAAGACCACCTACAAGGACCACACCTTTGAGGATGACATGACGGAGTACATCAACAAGGTGGAATATGCTCCAGAAGAAACGGAGCAAACTAAGGCCCTGGAAGGAAAACAGCTGTCAGCCTTCAGAAGGCTAATCATGCAGTTGAGGTGGCCTGCACACCACGTCTTGCCCGAATACCTGTTCCGGGTCAGCGACTTGGCACAAAGGGTGGGCGAGGCCAATGGTGGCGACTTGAAGTACGCCAACAAGGTCCTCAAAAGCATGAAGGAGACGGCCTCTGAAGGAAAGGCCAAAACAAGAATTCCTCCGATGAAGGGAGAATTGCTCCTCGTCTCCTACTTCGATGCATCTCTTGGTACATCCAAGAGTAGCCAAGCTCAGCAAGGAGAGTTGCACCTGCTGACAAGCACAGATGCCTTCCACAAGCCAGCACCTGCTTGCATCCTGGAATTCCACTCCAACCGCATCCGAAGGGTTGTCAGGAGCAGCTTGGCAGCCGAGGGATGTGCAATGTCCAGTGCAGGCGATCGCCAGCTTTTCAACAGGGTGATTGCCGACTCCTTCCTGTTTGGCAAGCTGGACATCAGCTCCAACTGGCGCCGTGAGATCCGCACCAAAGGATGCTTGATCACGGACGCCAAAGGTCTACATGACCACCTGCATAAAACAGGTGGAGTTGCCACAGAACGCCAAGCAGCCTTGGACATGCTGCTGATGAAACAACTCATCGAAGATGAGGTGGTGGGTTTGAAGTGGACACCCACTTGGCGGCAGCTGGCAGACCCCTTGACCAAGGACATGTCAGGGTCACTCCTTGAGGTCTTCAAGGAATCGGCTGAGATCTGTCTGATCCAGACCGCCAGTGATGCCAAGGAGGAAGAACGAAGGGCAGGCATTCATCGCGCCCAGAGAGAACGAAGAAAGGAAAGAATGAAGAGCCAGAAGACACAACGTCAACGCCCTTTTTCTCCGATGTGACTTGCAGGTTGTGCTTTTGAAGCTTGACGTTGGTGCTTGTTGCATGTGGTGGCGTCGCTTCCTTTTTCTCACTCGAAGGCATCTAGATGACCGCTCGCTCACAGCAGAAAACAAGCTGCTGCATTTTGCTTTGCTTTTGCATTGGCCCACACCTGGTTCTTTCTGTGTTGCTCTCAGGGAACCCTTTGGTTGTTTTGGGATTGGGCCCCCCACGAACCCACACTTATAAGCGAACCAAGCCCTGCCACCATGCCCCAAACCTAGATCACCAAGGGTTTCCAACACCAGATCACACCGGATCCACCGGAGAACGAGGTGAAAACCCTTCAGTGCCTCGGCGTTGCGTGCTTGGCCCCGCAAGGTGGCCACAGCCTCTAACTCCCCATACCTTAGCGTCGCATCCGTGGTCGGCACGCGGGGGCCATGGGCCGCGTCTGTGCGTTGCTGGTCGGCACAGGTGCCGCGAAAGAGAGCGGTCTGTATGGCGAGAGAAGAGACGTGGAGTCCAGCAGAGAAATCAAGCCTTTGTTAAGAATGTTAACAGGAAATCGAGCTGACAAGTTGATAATGAGTGGAAAGTCATTGTTTGATTTGGCTTTCTTTCAACTATAATGATTTGCAATAACATGTAAAACCATGTTGAAGCTAGTTTGGTATTTTTCATCATGTGCCACAAGAAAACACACACCACCCACACAGGAGAAGTCATGCGACACCTCATTTGGAATCGGCATGTCCTCAAAGTCCCAACAGATTTGGGCCGCCAACTTGGTGAAGACTAAGGTAGCAAGTTGCTGATCAGAAGGAGACCAAGCCTCCAGCTTTGGGTTCCAAGCAGGAATATCTTGAATCCATCCACGTGTCGCAGCTCCAAAAGTCGCCCCCCCCGGAAACCGTGGAAACACAAACTTCCTTTCACCACTTCGTTAAAACCCCAAGAGCCACCGGTCCCGGTGTCTCTTCCGTTGTTTCCGAGCGGCTTGATTTGTAGGTCGCATTCATAGCGCTCTGCGCGCGACGGCGTGAAGAACACGGAGACCTGCGACCGGGGCAAGCGTAAGCCCGGTGGTGATCGTTCTTAGGGGCCAAAGCCCGGGTCAACTGGTGGGGTGTAAACCACATTGATCCATATTGAGCGGATTTCAGAGTCTGTAATTCCAAGTTGGACTCATAGCCCAGGTCAGGCTGGCAGTAAAGTGGCACCATTGGCACTTAAGATTGAAATGATGCTGCTAGTTTCAATCAAACAATCCAAGCAGCTGAACAGTTTGCCAAGTCATCGGGCCAAATGATGCTGAGCTGCATGGTACTATATTTGCCATTATTTAACCCCAAAAAAGCCAAACTACAGTTCAAATATGTTCTAATGGTATCTAAAATCCAGTGGGGAACTGCTTAACATGTACCCATGATTACCCATTTATCTTCCATTTTGTGGAAACCAACGCACTCCAATGCCCCGTTTCCGACCACAGCACTGCCCTCGCCTCGTCCCACGCCCGCTAACCCCGCTGGACCGCACCTGACAAGAGGCGCCTTCTTCAAGGAACCCGTCGGGCACGTCGATGCTGGCGGGACGCGGAATGGCGCCGCTGGGAATTCGGGAATTCGGGTGGAGTCGAGGGATACTTGAGAAAAATGCAGTCGATACTTGTTATACCGATCTATAATGATTTATATATTTGCTGCAAAACGTTTCGTTTGAGAAGCTGCTGAACTACCTACAGACACAGTGGACCTATGTGACCCGGCAGTTCCTTTGCCTAACATCTGAATGGAACAATCTCAACAACGTCACTCCGAACAAATACTTCTGAAAACACAGTTAATTATGTTTGTTTGGACACAGTACTCAGGTGCTGAACCTTCACCTAAGGTTCAGGACCCTATGGGGTACTCAAAAGAAGAGTTTGGACATCTCGCGAGTCGTAGTAATTGCCAAGTAGCTGGGAACAAACCCCCATGCAGGTCATGTCAATGTAAAAAAAAGGAAACGTGCCATGATCGTGCATGGCTTCCTGTTCTGCCGCTCTTCTCTGGATGGGGACACTTCGGCACGGCACGGCACGCTTCGGTCTCTGCCTAAAGGGCTCTGTCGTCCGACAGAGCAGCTTCGAAGCGCGGTCACCCACGTTCCGCACCAGGACCGTCCGCTCACACTGCGCGCGACCGGACGGACGACGGAGGACGGAGGAGGGGTTGGTCGAAAGAGGTCGGAAGAGACTTATTTGAGATTCCTGTTCCATTGGTTTGTCTATGTCTGTGGAAGTAATATGAAGTAATGGGAGTATCATGGAGTATCACTTGCGATATTGTTCCCTGCTTGTCTCAGGACCTACTTCAGCGGATTGATGTTCAAGTACGGAGAACTTCTGCTGTATACCATCAACAAGTATCATTTCCAAGCACTCAAAAGCGCCAAGTTTGGGTGACGGAATTGATTGATCCCTATTTAAAAAAGACGAAGATGTTTGGAGCAAGCGCGTCGCAGGTTCATGCTTGTCAACCGAAAGGACGTCAAATGCCGCAAGGCTTGTCAAGCAATTGAATCGATCTGCTCAAAAGCCACCGTCAACTCGTCCAAAACGAGTTGGAGATTTGTTCTTCCACTTTGAGCGCTGGATGTGTCACACAGAAGTTGAGCCCGGCCCAATGAAATGAAACTACAAAATCCTTTGCCCTTGTTCAGCCGGTCGTAGCAGTGCTTCCAGGAAAAACATGGAATACGATGGAGTCAGAAGAAGCATGAAAACGCAATGGTCTCAAACCAGGCAGATACAGTCGCATACACTTACAGTGCGATAGCCTTAAGTGATTGGTCCACCCCTATTGTCCCACCCATTCGCGCGCATTCGCGCAGTTCACCTGGTAGCCGACGATGCACTCGTCCCCGAAGTCGATGACCTGAGTGTTTGGTCGAAATGACCTGACCTGTGAAGCATGGTTGGCCCAGGGATCCCGTTAGACATCCCCAACACACCTGACATCACCTGACCTTATCTGTCTGTCTGTCTGTGTTGATGAAGACAATAAGACCTTGTTCAATGGAACAGAACGGTCTATTTGGAATATTCATCGATCCAATGGCCTTGGACAACATGCAACCAAGCAAAAAATGCTTGCTTAATGTTTCACACAATATATATATATTAATATACGTACAGATACGTACAGCTGTACATGAAACATCATTATACCGTCCCTACAGGGCTCCAAAATACTCCAAGACTATCCTCAGAAGGTATAGACCCATGTGCCCTGGCACGTCTCGGACGTCTGGGCGTCCGACGTCCGGGAAGTCCAGCAGGGCGGAGCCGCCCGAGGCGCGGATCGGCACACTGGCGGCCGTGTCGCGCGGTCGCGGATCGGGTGGCGCTCGCTTTGGTCAAAAGAGGAGTGGCAAGTGGAGTGGAACACCATGGAGTGGTCATGTCTACTTCTTTCACTGAGTCCTATATTATGTGTTCTGGTTGATCTTGTTGGCGACTTCTTGGCCTGGTGACTTCAAAGGTTCCCTAGCAGCCACAGTTTGAGATGAAGCCATGCAACAGCATTTCTTCAGGACCAACAAGAAGCCCTTGCATGCCCTTGCCATCCAGATGGGTATATCTTCGTAGGGTAAGAACGACTATAAATCAGGTGATGAAGGGCTTGCCTGGTCGAAAAGCACGTTCCTTCCACTGGTCAGGATATCTATCTCAGCACCCTCACTGACTGGGGGGCCAGGGAAGAGACAGACAGGCCCCTTGGATCACGGTTCAGTCCACATCATCCAGTTCGCACCTGGCCATATCGATCTATGAGGGCCCAAGCGAGACGTGAGACGATCTGAAGCACGTTCGGATCTGAAGGACGAACTTGTTCTGCATGTCGACAGTGAAATAGGTGATTTGGAATGAACAAGTTGGAATTCAACCAAGTTCTTCTATTCGTCCGATCACTTGTCCACCAAGTTGAATAGGTGATTTGGAAGAGTCTGCCCTGCCCGATGGTGGCAATGCGCGCAAGTGACGCAAGTGCTTGCTGCGCTGGACCGAGGTACACATGTACCGTCCGTGTCCGTGGCGGAGTTGTCCGTGGGTGCACAGACCGTCGAGCGCCCTGCGGACCCTCCAGGGAGCCCTGCGCCTTGAAAAATGACAGTTCCGAAAGGGTGGAGACTGAGGCGATGAGGGAACTCACATTCATCTGAGAATCAGCAAGTTGGAGTGGTGAGTTCCACACCAAACCCAGGATCAAAGTTGGCCCAATGCATAATATTAGATCATTTTGGTATCACTCGGTATCACTGTAGATCACCTCCCACCCCCCAAAATAAGGGCCGTTCTTTGGGGGGGTCACCAACTCTTTGGATTTGGGTGGATTTTCGTTTGGATTGAGCCCACGTCCTGGCGCATAATAAAAAGTCTCTATGCACCGGTCAATCGTCCGACTGCGCCGACTCAAGTGGGTGCCGGTCAGGGGGGGGTTCGAGATGGGTTTCTGGATGGCGATCAGTTGTTTTTTGGTCACCTCCCCACCAAAGAAAGCATAATAAAGAACAACAAACAAACCATCAAACCATACGAGTCTGTAACTTTGTCATTTAAAAATATTCTCAACCCTCTTGGCAAGTCATATTCCTTTGCTTCAAATCTCGCCCACATCCCACATCGGTCCCTTTCCGCACCTGAACTCTTCTCTTTCAGTGACCTCACCGCACTCTACCAAGAGGCTGCGGGATGCAATTCTGCGGATCCAGTCGAACACAGGCGGTGTCCCCAGTTCTGCCAAGCTTCTTCTGCTTGCACATCACAACAGCCAGAACCAGTCGTTTTAGGGGGGTGCAACCAATGGGCTGCCCAGCACTCACGAATCTCCAATGGATCCGCGCCCCAAATCTGAGCTCTGCACCACCTTCAAGTCGTAGCTGTAGTCTATTCTGGCCAGGGAGTTCAGGCACTGGAATGTTTCTGGAGAGATGTCATGTTGCCGCGGAATAGATCTATCTTCCCACAACACCTTTGCAAACGTGTTTGCGTGTACATACCTAGGGTCACCGCAGGCAGGAATTCCTGCTCGAACGTGGTTCTATAGGTAATTTATGTAGTATTTTGATGCTATGTATGATATGTATACTGTATCTATTCATCTATCTAGGGTTTATAAGGGTACTGTATGAACAGCCCCAAATAACAAAACATTGCCCTTCTTGGCATGAGGCTGTGTCATCCCTTGAATAGAAGCGAACCTTGAAAACCAATTCCTGAACAAAACACAGAAAATGCAGCAAGCACAATACATGCAACAGCCCCCCCAAAAAAGTAGCAACATGGTTGAGGATCCCCCTTGTGGAGGTCTCTGGGGTGAGGGAGTTGATTTTATGAAGAAAAGTCATTTATAAAATGGAATCCCTCAGGCTGCTGCTTTATAAAATGAGAACCCGACCTTTTTATATAATGGCGAGACAACATACAAGAGCAAAAAAAAATGAAAATCCGCAGACGCCTTTTTCTCTTTATGGAATGGCTTTCCATGAATCGGTGAACATTTTGATCCGAAAATGGTCCATGTTTATGGAATGCTCAACCAACATCTTGCTGTGGTTGTGTCCACTATACGCACTATAAGTCTAAAGCCATGGGAGCCTGCATGGGACTATCACACTATAACGAGCCATTTATGGTATAGCACTATGGTGGCTATAGGCTCCATGTAGGCAAATCCTATGCAGGACTAGTTTCTATTAACTCTTTTTGAAGAAGAATAATTCATTCAAAACATCTCAAAAGAATGAAAGTCAACTTTAATATCAAAACAAGGGAGCAACTGTGCAATTTAAGACAAGTGATAGCAACCGAATGCAATCATCTCAACAAACTTGCAAGCAAAAACATGTGAAACACAACAATGCCAAAAGGAAAAACACTGCACACATTAATATGTTCATTGATGTTCATTGAACATTTATTTTGACATGATTTTGTGTGCTGATCAAAACCTGAGCATTCACCATGTGCCACATTCAAGTTGTGCATTGTCTTTGGCAGGGGAAATGATGGGAAATGGATGGACATGTTTTGATTCGGTTGCTATCACTTGTCTTAAATTGCACAGTTGCTCCCTTGTTTTGATATTAAAGTTGACTTTCATTCTTTTGAGATGTTTTGAGTGTGATTCTTCTTCAAACAGAATTCACAGAAACTAGTCCTGCATAGGATTTACCTACAGGGAGCCTATAGCCACTATACGGCTATACCATAAATGGCTCATTCTGGTGTGATAGGCCCATGCAAACCCAGGTATGTACTAGAAACCTTGGTTGTAGAGCCACTATTGAAAGGGAGCCAACCTCAACCACAAAGCAAAAAAGTGACCCAAAACGCGGAGGTTGGATCGCCTCATTTTATAAACCTCACCCTGCCCATCGTATTTGTGCACACCCTCCCAGGGAAAAGCTGGTAAACCCATTTTATAAACCTGTTTCCCCCTCCCAAGGCCCATCGTATTTGTCCACACCCTCCCAGGAAATAGATGGCAAACCATTTTATACATAATTGTCCCTGCCAAGGCCCATCGTATTTGTGCACACCCTCCAGCTCTTTGGCAGAGGGAATGGTTTATAAAATAGCTTTCCCCTGCCAAGGACTATTAAATCCATTGGCAAACATGTCAAAACCCATTTTATAAACCTTTAATCATAAAATGGTTCTATTCTCTCACACCCTTACTTGTTTATAGAATGAGCAACCAACATCTAGCTGTCTCTATGTTTAAAAAAAAACCCTGTTTATAAAATGTACATAGGAGCCAAACCGACCTTTTTATGAAATGACGAGACAAGATGCATAGGCTTTTTTTTCAAAATTCCGATTTCCGGAAACATTGTGCTTTTTATGAAGTGAGTCCTGGAAAAGGCATTTTATGTCACCAGGATCCCCATTTAATAAGGACCTATGCAAGGGGGATGGTTGAGGCATCTTCCGGCAACCAACAAAAAAAAGTGGTATCAAGTGGAAAAATCAGTCACACAGGCAAAAAACAAGTGATACATCTTCATCAGTAGAAAAAACAAGGTGTCCCCATAACCCTTCCCTGACTCAAGGCCGTGCCTCGCATCTGGCTTGAAACGCACCACGTAGGACACTTCCATTCCAGGAGCGATCTGGTATTGGCGGTGAAACGAAATCCCAGTGGTGTGAGGAACCGCTCAGTAAGGCAGTTGTGTCTTTTTGTTAAATATGTTTTTTTGATGTGTTGAAAAGCAACTGATCGGACCGGCTTGTGCATGAGCATTCCTACTGGTGCATGGAGCACCGGTGATCTACGCCGCACCAAGAGCTTCTCCAACCACCTCCAAAATATGATCTGTTTTCTGAGTCAACACCAGAAGAGCGATGTAGCTGGAAAGCGGCAACGGACTTTCACTTGGACCACTCCCCCCTTGAACGCAGTTGAACAAGTAATAACAGAAATTCCAAACATATTCCAATCACGGTGATTTGAATCCTCTCAAAACCCCATCAAAACCCCATCAAAACAAAGGATTCACCCTCATCAAAACCCCATCAAGAGTTGAATCCTCTCAAACCGCACCGTGCAGGACATCCACGCGCCGAACGCCAACGCCTTATCCCTGGAGACGTCGCTGGACGCGACGGTACCGCCCTTCGCGACCCGGCGAGCGGGCAAAAGCCTGGAGTGAAGAGATGGTCAGATGGTGCGGAGGTTGGGAAATCATGAGCAAATCAGTAAAATCAGAGGCCAGCTATTCAGTTGGAGGCCATCGCTATTAGGTTGGAGGCCATGACTACTAGTAGACAGAAGCTGCTAGGTTAGGTTCTAGATGGGAACATCTGGGAACCTGGATATGTTGCTGTCGGATAGCAGGTGTTTGATGGTTTGATGAGGATTTGGGGATGGTGCAAACATGTGCAAACTGTCAATTTAGGATCACTCGGGGAAGTCCCTCTTGGATTGAGTTTCATATCCACCTGACCTTGAAGATTCTTGAAGGAATCCATACCTATCTCTGCCATGGGCTCAAGACAAGAAAGTATAGGATTTAGCACCCTTACGCCCTTAAGACATCTTGAGACAATGTTTCCAAGAGTCTCCTGTAGCGTGAATGAACCATAGCCAGACCTGCATTGGGGCTTTCGGACGCTTTGGTCAACAACCCCCTACTACATGTCTCAGGATGTTCATCATCCAAGCGGTGATTGGATGTCGAGCCCCCGAGGGTTTCCGGCCCGAGCTGGTGCCCTTGCTACCGCCTCAAGTGGCACAGCGCCAACCCCATCAGCACTGAGCTCTCCCACTCGAAGAACGGGCTGTCAGGCGGGCAAACCTGACGGATGGCTGTGGATGGAGCAAAACTGAGGCGAAGCAGAATGCTCTAGTGATCGTGAGCCTTGCTTCCTTCCTTACTTACTTACTTCCTTCATTCCTTACTTCCTGCCTCGACAAAGAGTTTGGCGAATGCCTTGAAACAAGGCGTTTGGGTTGCTTCGCCCTCCGAGTTCAACTCCCGAATGTGGGCAATGTTCACATATGTCAATCCAGCCCATGTGGAATCCAAGTAGTGCACGAGAAGTCTTCCACCGTTTTAAGGTGAAGTTTTGAAGAGAAAACATGAGAAACTCAGATTTCAAATGATTTCAGTGGTCCTGAGTCCTGGATGGTCTCGAATTCGTAGCACTGTACTACACTCCCTTTCAACAATCATGGAAGTGGCAACGTTGCCCCTGGAAAGCCCATTTCTTTCCTTTAGAAACAGGGGGCACAGAAGGTCCACTTCCACCTTTTGTTGGGAGGACTTGGACTCGGACCAGATCGACTCAACCAGGACCCGGCCTTGACTCTCCGTGCGACATTGTCCTGATTCCGCAACGTCACCATGGTCTGGCGCGGTGGGTTGTCGGTGGGGTCGCCCCGGTGGGGTGAGGAGAACAGCACAAGTGTCACAAAGGCTGGAGGGTGTAGTCTAGAGTTCATAGTTCACTCAAAGGTGCCTTTTGTGGAAATGATTCACTCCTAAACCAGTCACACACAACGACACAACGGTCAGTAACTGTTCAGCAAGTGAAGTTGTTCCGCCAAGGCTGTGAAGCAGGTATTGCACTGTGCTCATGGGTGATGGTTCTTACTACTGTCGGCTGGTTGAATCAACCAACGCCTCTGCCTCATTGGATAAACACCCATTCAACACTGGCTGTTGTGTGCTAAACCTTCAGCGCGTGGTTGGGGTTGAAACACTAAATTTAGATCTGGGGATACATCCCGAACGATGTACATACCACAATTGAGGATGTTTGGGGTGCGCCCAACGTGGCCCAACTAGTTTCTAAGGCTTCTAAGACAAACACGGTGGACCTCTGTTTGAACTCTAGACTCTAGAATCATCAAGGGAAATCGGTGTGCTTCTCTGGCTTCTTGAAAACGATGTCAGAACAGCCGATCTCTTGGTTCGATCAAATCTGGTTCGGGGACAGCAATCAGCGACCTGATGAGTGTTGGAAGGGTTTACAGTAGTCAGTATATAGTTTGGTTCGTTCTGCACCTTAAGGAAAATTCAGAGCTTCCTCACAATCTGTATGGCTTCTTAAGTGGCTATTATAGACAATTTAATGTATTTTTTCCACGCAAACTTCGACTGACCCCCCAAAAAAAAAACACAGCTGAAACGCCTGCACCATCCGCCCAGAACCCTAAACCGACCACCCTAGTCCCATCTCTTCTCATCCCCAAACCCTCCGAAACCACGCCGCCGCTGTAGGCCGTTGCTCGGTCGTCTCCGGCCTCGTAGGTCTGGAGCCCTTCGAACTCCACGAAGGCCACGACGGGCGGATGGACACTGGCCGGCGGAGGGACCGGTTGGGTACCAGCTACCGGGTACGCAGGTACGGTCTGCCTTCCCAAAGAATCTCATGGGTGGCATAAATCATATACATGCAGTATATAATTACATTGAGCCCTGAAGCCACCCCAATGATCCCCAATGTAGGATAATGTATATATTATATAGTTATATGGTATAGCATAGAAATTCCATGGAATGTCTGGGAATTGTGCGGTTTGAGAAAAGAATGTAGACAAGACTCCACAAGACTAGCTCTCATACTGGAAAAAATGATGGGACTGGGGTGACATGGTGAGAGCAAAAACAGCAGCAAAAAGGTCTGTGTGTGTGTGTGGGTCAAACTACATCTCTTTGGAACCCCCTGGCTCGATCTAAATCTTCATGTACATGAAGAATTTGCATATTGGTTTGGGGCCCGAAACATACATTACATAGGCCCGGTCTTTTTGCAATCTGCCCATGTACCGGTTCTGGTTGGCTCACCTGAAAAATCGTGCAACCATTTGCATGTTCACCTCGTAGAATCTCGTAGACTACGTCGTAGAGCCTTCAAGAATCGGTACACGCACCTGCCTTTGTTCCCTTTGTTCCTATGTACATCAATTGTTTTCCAGGACGGAGACGGCATGTCTTTTTTTCCGAACCAAATCGATCGACAGAATTCCCATGTCATGGACTCGAGATAGAATTCTCAAATGCTCCTCTTCAAAGCTCGTCAAATTGGTCACCTCCGAAGCCATGGTCCATCAGGACACCCGTCAAAGAGTTTCCCCGAAAGCAACCCGCTTCAAGAAAACCTGTGGAGGCTCGACTGATTCAAAGGAACAGCAGCCACAGAAATGGACTGCAACCTGCAAACGAACAATAACGAACATGTTCCATCATGTTCCGCCCAACAAGAACGAGTCGCGAGTTCCTTGCGAAACTTCGGTTTCTGGGCACCAGAACGGACACATCCGAGGAGCCCAGAATTTCTGAAGACCACCACTGTGACCACGATGACCTCATGCACCATGGACCACTCAAACCAGCTCTGTGGACTCCACTCCACCGGCGTCGACCGACTGGTCGACCGCCTAAAGAGCGGTTGGTCGACCGGCACCACGGACCTCAGTCGGCTCCTTCCACAGACGGTGGAAGAAGAAGAGTCCTATCAACGGTAAGCAGAACGTGGTTTTTTTTTAATAGTGGTAGCATGTGCGGAAAATTGTGGAAGAACCTAAGAGATCAGTCGGAGTCTGTTCAAGAAACAATAGATGGCCGGATGGCCGGAAGCAGGGCTTCCGCCGCGTACGAAGCCCCTCTTTACACAATAGAGGGTGGGTGCTGGGACCCATGACAATGGAGCCTTCATGACGACGGTAGCTGGATGAGGCCGAAGACACTGGCAGCTAACTTTGAGTCGCAAAAGCCAGCACGACCAACATCGACCAAGCAACTGCCCGATGCCCCAGAACCAAACTCGTAACTCAGTCTTTCCAAGTGTGACATAGACAACATGGGGCTGATCAAAACTCAAAATTCCACCTTTTGAATGCAAACGAGGACAACATCTTCTTTCGTTACTATCGATGAGTCTCTATGAAACTGCTGCTACCTGTACCTCGCACATCGAGGAAACATGTGCAACATCCCTTCGTTCTTTTCCGGGAGGACCTTCTGAGAGTCCAAGGCCTTGGTCTTTCAATTCAAAATCCGAATGAACAGCTTGTCCTTTTTTTCGACTTCTTGGAGTCATGTTATGACGAAAGCAAATCATCCAATACTACATCCTCAGGCAATTGGATCCCCAAAACCCGGATGCTCCGAAAAACCTTCCAATATGACTTCCAAATCCGGACGTCTTCGAAGGACCAGGAGGTGCGACTCGGACGTCTTCGGGTCGCCGCACGTGGTGTGGTTGGAAAACCGTGCCAGGTCTTGGAAGCCGGTGATCCTGCAGTCCACGGAAGCGCCGCGAGCGCCACGAGGTCCAGAAGCCAATGCCGTCGTTTTGGCGACTGTGGTGTTTATATTTTGTTATGAATGGATTTGGAGTACCCGGAGTTTTCTTAACTTCATTTTCAAGATCTTTTACGAGTCGAACCGTAGTAGAAAGACCTTCTGACTTATCTCCAAAATGTGGGAAACTACGAGAGCTCATCTTCAATGTGTCATCAGTGGAAAACATAATCATCAGGATCTCCGACTCCAACCAGTCTATATTGCCGCACCGGTCACCTCATGTTCTTTCATGATTCATTATGATTTAAATTCTCCCATGTTCTCCCCACCTGAGCCAGCAAACACATCCTCCAACGACCCATCCTGAAGTTGGGACGGAGTAGGCATTGGGGGCGGAACCGTGCGGTCTGGGGGGGGGGGGGTGTTGGTTCCCCACGCGACCGGCGACGGCCACAGGCTCCAGGCGACGGCCACAGGCTCCAGACGACCCAGGGCGCCCCACTTGGGCTTCGCCAACATGCTCTGCACCAGGCTGAACTGAGCCAAAGAAGTGATCATCACATCAGGTGAAAAGGCCGATGTCGTAGACCCCGTGAAAGATCTGGAACATTACAGAACATCAAAGGAACCCGAAAGGCACTCAGTATGGTTCTTCTGAAACGAGTGTAAAGGATTGAAAAGGGATGAAAAGGCTTCATTGTTCTGATGTACCTAGGTCCCTAGGTCTATACTACATTTCAATAAAGTTATTGTCTTTCTTCCTGGACCTGGATCCAGGATCCGGATGGACGGTGTTCTGTCAGATTCCATGGATCGGACAAGTGATTGGAACGCTTTTTGCCGTGGATCCAAGTCTCAGTTTGGAGCATCAAATACTCTGCTTAGGATCATGATGATCATGTCAGCTTTTCGAAGCATCAAAAGGTGTCTTGGAATTTCTTGGAGATCCTTTTAGACAAACTTGGAAGGCTAATATGCCTGCGAACTTGGGACTGTTGCAGTGTTGCTCCGATTTCAACAGCCCTGCTGCGCTTAAGCATGGTGGCATGGCCCTTGCACCGTATGAACAGGCAAAACCAGATTGAGTATTGACACGCCACGGTGACAGAGCCTTCCAAGGTCATCGTGACAATGAATGGCAAAGATTGATTGCAAAATCAAGAACAAAACACTTCCAGTTTGCGATGAGATACCATGAGGCTGAGAGGGGAACAAAACGGAGCCAACTGATACCCAGAAATTGCCCAAGGGCACTATGGTCGAGGGGACTCCAACTTCCGACGTTCGACTTGTGCAAGCTCATCTCATGGTTCTGATTCCGTTTGATCCCAGCACTCCTGGCACTCCTGGCTGTCCCCCACGTATTTCTCAACATATCACAACTATTCCTTCAGGAAGTTCTGTTTTCAACCTGAGTCTCGCCTCCAAATCCCAGAATTGGATCAACTCTGGCCACCAAATCCCAACACCGGCCTGCTGCTTCTCCAGCAAGAGTTGGCTTGGTGTCCGCTTGATCGACTTCTGGCGTCGAACCGCCGTCGAATCGTCGAACCGCTGTTCTGTCTCGTTACGTCGAAGCGTCTGACGCGAAGCGACCGGCCGAAAGCTTCCTCCAAGGGCCAGGTGAGCAGAGGCAAAATCCCCGATTTCCTCTTGGTGGTTGAACCTCATTGAGGGTCCCACTATGAATTCACTCAACGTTTTGATATTTGCATAACATTATTGTATATACTATTACAGTACTATATATTACTATCTATATTATTGCATAGTGATCTTGTCAAAATAGACTCAACCAAGGCCAACGTTTGTGATTGTAGCGTTTTCCAATCTCCTGTGTGACTAAGCAGTTCTCAATGTCCAGGGCATCTCCAAAAGACTGGCACGGGTTGATACAAATTGTTGGGGTGCTTCTGAAGCAGACCCATGCAATCTAGAATCCAGATGGTCTCAATAGAACAAGAGAACAAGAGCTGAGGGTCGTCACTGGATCAAAGCAGCCGGGGGTCACAGCGGGACAAGTCCCACCAACCATTGAAAATGAAAAGTACTACCTGCATCAGGATTCGCCGAATCGCATAGACCTCCTAGGTGGCCTAGCTCTTTATGACAAGTGCAGGTAAGATCTTAGTACCAGTCTGTATAGGATTCATCCACAAAAACCTATGGTGGTCAGATTCCTGAACTCTCCACCATCGGACCACATGTCCGTTCGCCGTCTATCCAGTCCCACCGAGGTGTTCCAACTCCGAAAACAGCAGGCCTCACTAGGATAGCCCACGGTCCTCAGAGAGGACACAGAGTGAAAAAAACCCATGGACAACCGCTCAGCTAGGATAATTTTCAGAATGATCGTAGACTCGTAGATATATGCCGCCATGCTGGGCTGACAAAATAAGGACTCACTTTTGTGGTTGGTAGCCTGGGATATAGACCAGACTCAAGAGCAGGGCAAACCTCTACAAAGGTGGTCAGAAACCATTCTGGAGGGAGAAATCATTCTGGAGGATCCATGATTGGATACTTTGAGGGCGTCACAGCAACCTTCGACTGTTACGGTGCCATCTATTTTATTTTGGACATACTGGGAAGGTGGATTATTGAATTGTAATTACCCAAAGTGGATTTGTTTGATGTATGGACTATAGTGCTTCGGCTCTGGATGTCGAGCCAGAGTTCATGCTTTTTCTGAGCTCCTGTTGGCACTCGCCGCGCATGGTCATGTGCTGTGGATCAATTACAAACCCCAACGTTGTCACCTTGATTGAGGGTTCACAGAGAACCCTTCACTTTCCTTGGCAGAAGTTCTTCCAGATTGCTCACGGAATCGGAAGATCGAAAGCTCAGCAGGCGAGGCTTTCTTTGTAGGAGCAGAAATGGCCATCACGCGGTGACTGAAAGCTGGCAGGACTCCACATACATGTTCTTTCTTAAGCTAGCGGATTCGAGCATTTGGATGCGCAAGTAACTTGGATTTAAGTCATCGGTTCCGCAAATACATGTTTTGCATTGTTTTGCATTGCTTTGCACACAAAGACCTCCCCGGTGTTTTTTTTGTCACATGTGAGGTTGGGAGTGCTTCCTTTCCTTGCCTTCAGCACAGAAGGTTCAAAGAGATATGTTCAGTGTGGCTGAGGGCAGAATTGATGGCAGGAGGGTTGTGTGAACGAGGTCCTTGCCCAAGTCTTGGCTGAGATTTCACCGGCTTTTCCGTACATTCCATTGAAAGAACGTTGAAGGCAAATCCGTCATGATCAATATACTCAGCCTCCAAGCACGCTTCTCTAAGCCTCCCCACACGTTGCCTCCCTGAGCATTGGGGAAGAGGCTGGGCAGGCTGATCGCCTGCGATCCAACCGATCCCAGGGTGTTCGGTGCACACGGTGTCCACTGGGCTTCGAGTGGTTCGGGTGGAGAAGACCATCCTCCACCTCACGGTTCGGGTGGTTTGAGCATGAATCGGGACAGGTCGTTGAAGGTGGATTCCAAAAGAAGCATGATCACTGTCAGGTCCTCCGGCAGGTGAAGATACATCCAAAAGCAATATGAAATATATTCAACTATGTCTGCAGAAGAACTCCTTGGGGTAGCTCCAGCTCTCCTACTTTCCTTCTGAAAGGGGTCTCATCCTCCTACCATCTCTCCCAAATGCTCAGGTGCTCTACCGCCGATCTCCCTGCCTTGGGGCCTAGGCCGCTACTCCCAGGTCCAAGGACCACCTGGCAGTGTGGCCCACGCCCGAGAGACACCGTTTCTCTTTCGGTGGGGCCGTTCTCCCACAGCGAAATCGGGTGGTGAACAGATGTGAAGACCACAGACTCGAAAGAACCGGAACGCATATTGGTTGTTTTTGTTTACAAAAATCGGAATCTCAAGTCTAAAAAAGTCCTGTGGACTCATGATGTTTCATGGTTTCATGATGCGTCATGCCTCGAGCTCTATTCGTTGGACGCCGATCTCCCGACTCTCGACTCCCTCTTGCCCCATGCCGTCGCCCCCTGTGCCATCCCCCGCTGGCCATGGTCGACTGGAATGGCATGGATTACATGGAGAGCTTCGGGATCACCATCGGACATCTAAGGACAGTCGGCCATGTTAGCAAGGACAGTCGAACACCAAGAACAGGAAGGATTACATGTAAGGACAGTCGAACACCATTGGACTGCAAATCTCTGGTCGCCGCGCGTGCGACCTGTTCCACTACCGTTGGTTCTTAGAAGACCTGGCTCGATCAGTTCCTGCGAACAACGACTCCCACAAGGCTGCTATTGAGAAAGGTTTTGTTGTATACAACGATTAGATGTATATTATCCAATGTAGGTATGTATTGATGCCATGTCTGGGTATGTATATATATATATAGAAAGAGAGACCTCGGAACTATTGACTATTGGCACTCTGCCATTGAGGTCCAAAAGTCCAGGGTAAGCATATCAAGGCTTTCCAGGCGGTTCACTAATCTAGCTTGATCAAACTAGTGATTTTGGGGCCAATCTATTTGGAAGGTATCATGATAGGAATACGAAAGCTCATATTAGATCTATATACATGACCAAATACTATATATAGTACTATGATATAACATGTTCATATTAGTCATTAGTCAAAAGCATGGCAACCATGGTTGCTTATCTTACATGGGAAAGTAGTGCATCTGCAACTTCACAAGCTTCCCGCTTCGTTAGGCCCGGTTGGCCCTTCATTTTGGTCCCAAGCAGGCATAAGCTTCTGTACCGTCAAGCCGGCTGCCAGCTACCCTCATTCAACTCTAGCTTCAATGAAGCCAGGAAGCAACTCAAAGTGTTTCCAACCCACCATTTCATGAACATGATTGTCGCGAACCTTCTTGTTCGCAATTCAGGCAAATTCTTCAGCGACCAGGCCACCCCCACCCCAAAAACACTCACAAGTTGACTCGATGACTGTGATAACCCGATGGTGCACGGTGGCAAAACCCAACTCCGGAACTTGAAAGACTCCAGAACAAGGAACCTTTGGGACCTTGACTCCGGAACCTTTGGGACCAGTAGACCACATAGGGAAAGTCACTGTCAGCTCAGTCCAGAACAAGGTCCGGGTGGGTCACAGCATATGAACATATATGAACCATGACTTGCAGAATCATGGAAGCTGTAGCCATGTGGCTGTGAGTCAAAACTTCCCCCACCAAACCATGTGTGAGGGCTGCATTGTTGGTACATACCGTTACATACCAAACTCGCCAAACTGTCAACTCCACACCCCCGTTCTATGCTGGACCAACCCGGGGGCATGAAATCTCCACCAGCAATATCCTTCCAAGTTGCGTTGGCAATCCAAGTGAAGCTTCACCACACCCACAAGAGTTCTCTGAGGTCTTCGCTGTAGCCGCTGGACGTGGCTACGGGTGATGCTAAACGCGGCTAAACGCGGCTAATGGTGCGAGACGAAGCTATGATAAGCTATGGCAAGGAGCAAGTATGCAGAGGTCCAGGTCCGTTGACCTAGTGGGAAAGTCAAGGATTGACATTGGTGCCAAGGAACTGTCTGTTTTCCCTGGAGGTTGAAGACAGCAGTGTTTCCATCTGCCAGGGACGGCGGGGTTGATGTTATATAGTTTGGATATGTTTGGATGGTGTGCGCGGCCGTTGAGAGAAACTTAAGTTTGTAACAGCTCCTTAGCCTTAGATTCATTGAAAGCAACGTGCCTAGAACCATCTTATCGGCTTGATCCTTAGCATCTGTTGTTCTTGTGGTTGCATGGATGCAGCATGGTGCAAGTTCCAGTTGCAAACTCCAAACAACTCTTGCCAACATGGTGCTTTGTCTCAATGCGGTTCAAAAAGGATAGAAAAAAAATCGCAGAAGAGAAGAACACATCGTTGGTTGGAGAGTCTCACCAAAATCAGACTGCCTCATGTCATATGGGGCCCAAATCGTCTAAAGCACAAAAAAGCACTGTTGGGCTTCGAGTTAAGTGCGGTTGCAATTAACACAAGTCCCCTAGCACTAACACTGAAATGTCTGATTGGGCTGTGGGTTGGGTGCCCCTTCTGTTGGGATTTTCGGGGCTTCGTCAATCCGGAGTCATAGCTTCATCGAACCACGCAACTTGCTACGCCGCTGCTACGCATGTCCTGCAAGGTCCTCCTCACACCTAAACTGTCAAAGCCTAGTAATTGCAGTGCTAGTCCAACATCTTGGACCACGCTGTACAGTCGTGTTTTTTTTGCACAGCCATCTAACCTCCCGTGGAAAGGAAGCCACATCTGTGCACCCTCCCTTCCTACCAATGTCCAATCTTCCCCAACTCCGAAAGTAGATCCCGCGATCATACAGATATGATGCCCCAATCATGTTGCCCTTGGGCTGGCTCAGCTCCACCATCGCCCAACACGGGCACCCTCCGACGCAAAAACAAAGACGTGAACCATAGGAACAGTTGAGAACTGTTGATGACATCGGTTTCTCACAGCAGAATATGTTCTCCTGTCCAAGAACATGAGATGGCACTTGGTGCTTGCTTTCGTTGCACAATTACTGTTGTCACAGTTGCCGAAGCTGGAGTCACTCGTCCTTTCCTGAGATTGCCTGCAAATATACAATTGACCCACGGTTCCCACCTCAAACACTTTCAAAGAGAAACCTATGTCTTACCACTCCAACTTTATCTTTTGGAGGTGTGGAACTCTGAGGACCTTGCTAAGACAAGACTTCAAATTCGTTTCTCGGGTTCTCTGCGGCTGCGCAGAACCCCCCAACAGAATGCCAACTATGCACACGCACTCGACGTGCGGCAAGGCCTCAAGGATCGGGCATTGAAAGCAACCGTTACCAGAACATGTCAAACTTATACTTTCTGGGCAAACTGGCGTGGCACAAGTGCAGGTCTTACTAGCTACATTGGAGAACAAAGCTGCAAGCCCACTTTGGACTGGGGAGTTACAAGAACTAAAGTACAACCCACCCATCACTCGCTACAAATAGCGGCGCCAGCTAGGCTTTGGACCATGGTGTCCATGTGTTCCGATGCTGCAGCCAGAGTGTGGCGTCACAAGAAGACTACAATCCATCATTCTGTCAATCTATATTTAACAGGCCTGTTTTTAATCAGTGGTTTCAGAGTAGATGGCACAATTCCGAAAAAAGTGGTTTACAAGGATCTCCATCCAAAAGACATCTTGGGGTGCCAGTGCCATCTACTCTGATGGCCCACTGTAGATGGCACTGGGCCAACCTGCAGCCGTGTCACATCGAAACGAAAACCGCAGCCACCCAAACCTACCCACTCGCTCCGAAACATGCGCTTACATCCCAAATGATGCCTTTTCCCATGTGCATCATGTGCAGCGACCTGGACCTGGACCTTATGTGACAAGCAGTACTATAGAGTGATGCACAACTGGACCTATTCTCCAGCAAATTCCACATGCCACGGTTTGCGTTTAAGGCGCATCTTTCGCTAGCGATGAGGATGAGGATAATCGAGTTCATCATCTTCCTGCGCCGGTGCCCAAACGGTCCAAACGCTCTATTTGTTTGCCTCTGGAGAGGGGATGACAGGGGACTCCGGTGGCTTTTGGTTGAAGATTTGAGACTTTTCTGGTATCAAAATGTATCAAATATAATATATCAAATACACATCTCACCCAGTTTGAACACCACGTAAGGATGATGCAAGGATGTAGTATGGGCAAAATCGATTTGAGTATCAATCTGTGTCGGTGGTCTTGGTCGGGGATCGGCACCCGTCAATGATGCCAGACTGAGAAACAGTGAACTGTATAGCCACAAACAAGTGCAACACTACCAAAGTCCCGTCCATACATGCTAAGCTCCTCTTGAAATCTTGCAGTTGATGCATGGTAATCCCTGCCTCTCATGTTCACAGTGCATTGGGTGTATGTCCACCGACCAACGAGTCCCCACTGCCCAACGACACCGATGGCGCCCCCGGTGGGACTCGGTTCCGCTCCAACGACAGCGCCGCACGGGACATCACGGGATCGAACGGTGGGTCCGGGCCATGACGGCCGACGACCTCGTCCGACCTCGTCCCAGCCAGCGTCCAGCCACAAAAACATGCATACAAGCCAGGAATAGATGGAAGAATCTCTGTTGCTGTGGAAGATGATTCTGTCAGGGGGGAAGAAATCTCTGGGAGCATGTTTCAAATATGCGCTGCAATCAAGTTGTGATAGTTGGATGACCATTCGTGCCGTATATATGGCCTTTCTCAGGCTTGCCATCACCTGCTTCTTGCATCTTCCGGCTGTTGCCCGCTTCTTCGGGAGATCCGGACACATCGATGTGGGCACCTTTACGAGAAATCCGTCCTGTTCCATCAGCAGGCTCTCCCGGTTGTCATATAACCAGAAGGCGGCTGCATCAAACAGCATCGACCTCACGGTCGCGACACGTTGCTCAAACTCGGACCTTCCACATGAACGCCCATCTAGGATAGGACGGTCATATGTCAAGGTCGCTACGGTCGCCTGGAGCTCCAAGAGCTCTAGCAACATCGGGATGATGGAGCGGGTTTTGGAAACATCTCATCTTGAGGGAGATGTTTGACCAATTCGAACACCCAAAGGTCTCCTGCTGCCCTAGTTCCAAGGATCCCTACCAAGAACCGTCCAACACCTCAAATCATATCCAGCGCAAGAGCCATAACGAAAAGGACGGCCGTCATGAAGGCCGTTCGGAACAGCCAGCAGTACCAAGTGGCCCAGAACAGCACGGCTCCACCGGTCCGGTCCAATCAGGGTTTTCAGGTCCGTGATCCGGTCCACCCGTCTCGAAGCGCAGTCCGACTGGAACAGTAAGGTTCCCGGTCTGCGGGGGACCCTGGGACCCTTCGCCCATAGGTCGTCTGGTAGGTGCCCTGGTAGGTGCCCAAAAAAAAGATGTTTAGCGCCCATGTCCGGTCCTGCACGTCCTGATACCTTTTATCCCACACCTTGTGTTTTTGTTGATGTTTTTTTACACCACCATCACATATCCCTTAGAAGTCCAGCAACGAAACCTCATCCAAAAACAATGCCAAATCAAAGCAGGAAACCAAAACGCCTCCCACGCCACTCGAAAATCCACGCATAAACACCCACTCGGACCCGCTCCCTCCACTTTGCTGACGGCAGTTGTACTGGCAAACCACTTGGAAGCCCGGACAGCACGGTGCCACCCTGGCTGCAGTGGAGCAAATCATCCAGCGTGATGATGCCAGTCCTTGGGAGCAACAAGCGAAAAACGCCGACCCGTCTTCTCTCTCTCTCTCTCTCTCCCACGCACACACAGAACAACGAGGTGATCAGAACAGGACCAACAAAAGGAGCTCACCGCGAACAGGCTGAAATCACCCAGAATGCAGCCCGGAAGCCACAAAGAAATAGACTGCTGAGCTCAGTTGAAGCAGTCAATTAGTAGCAAACACCCTTCTTCTTAGCTGCATTCGCAGAGTTTGCAACCGAACATCTCTTGGTCATGGTCACCTCGGACTAAACCACCACCTCAAATAACAATCACCCACCTCGGGTCTTGGTGCACGTGGTTGGCATCACATGGCCCAAACGTACAACGTACCGTCTGAGCACATGGTGTGTGCATCCTTCGTCCAGGGCACGTCTTGGACCTGACCATATCGAAGATCTCGTCCTTCACGTCGTCCACGGAGGCGATCTCCGAACCTGCGGAAGGCTCGCGGCGTGAGTCGCGTCGGTCCCAGGTGCTGTGGGTCGTGCAGTTGTGCGACATCAGTGACTTAACTGACTTAACCCATTATGACCCACGGCTCATGATGCATGCATTCTGCATGCCCTACCATGCCCTTTCTGGAGGTCTTTCTCCAGCTTTGTCCCCAGGATTGTGGTCACGTTTCAAGTGGTCGAACTTGGAGAATCTGCGTTGCTTAGAGGTGTTCAAGGCAAATGGTCTGTCCATTTCTGTAAGTCTATACAATGACCCAAAAGAGTAAGAGGAACCTCAACTCCTGATTGGGGGGCTGTTATATAATCGATATGGATAGACACCGCCTATAATGTGGCTATTGGTTTGACGATTGTTGGACTGATCTTTGGCGCACGCACAATCGCAAGCAACGTACAGAGTCCGGAACACATTTAGCTGCTTATGGAAACCAGGCGAAGCTCAAAGAATGATGCAGAATGCGGGAGTTGTTTTGGCATGTTTGGAGTTGTCCAGTGGCACAGAATTGCTCTTCAAATCTGTGTCTCGAGTACATTTAATTTGCTATTCAAATCCTCTAGTAGCAAGGGCATCGCAACTAGTAACAATGTGCATCGCTACGTTCGTGGCGGCTAGAAGCTACTACAACAACAGTAGTAGCTTCTGGTGCTTAGACTTAGACCTGCACAGAATTGCCCGGCCAACGGCAAGGTCGCGCCTTTGATCTGGCGCAGCACCTTCACGATGGCTCGAAAGAAGTAGTTGATGACAAAGCCGTCAATGCCTAGGTCACACATGCGAAACCTTTTGCGACAGTTGCTTAGAGAGTGTCACTATTCAAGGACAGTTGTGCAGGATTCATGCGTCACAAGCATCGACATCGGAATCCACATGAGCCCTGAAACCTGAGAGCGGATATGATGCTCTTGGGAGCCACAGTCTGGAACAGGAGACGGGCCCAAGGAGAGAGGAAGAAGCGGGAAAAAGCACATGCTCTGGTCCCTCCAAGAACTTGCATCTTCATTTTGAGTTTCACTTGGGAGCCCAGCACATCAGCACTGCATGTGCGAAACACAAACGAAGGGCAAAATGGATTGGCTCTGTGTCCCCATCCTTTGACCCCTTCGACATCCCACCAGCTCAGCTTAGCAACAGCCGGTGTGGTGAATGTCCAAGAGCTTCCAGAAGTACCGGACGGCCTGGACAGCGAACGGCCCGTCCGGTAACCCCACGAAAGGCCGCAGGCGAAAACAGGGGCCCGCGCCCTATTGTGACCGTGAGTGAAAGAAAACGACTCAGTGGACTCAGCATCAATACAATCCTATAAATTAACTAAAAACCATCTATCCAGCAGAGACATGCTTGAGACAAGCAAATGTGCGTATGCAAGGGCTTTCGGTATAACAGTATCTTCAATTCAAGCAACTAATTCATTGTCTAAGTCTACATCCCTCCTACCACGCGGAAGAAGAACCAAAGTTCTTTGCAGAACATGGAGTTCTGGTGGTTCCGCGGTTCGACCCCCCTTCCTGATCCGATGACAGGCTCGGCGTGGACCCCCTGCCTAGGAATGGAAGAACCTCTTGCTGTTCAGGGTCCTCCCAAAGACCAATGAGACCTGCTTGCTTTTTCCCAAAGCCACGGGGACTCTCGATCTGATGGTCCCAATTCCGAAAAATGGCGGCGCGCGCTTTCGCGACCTGAGGAGTACCTTTGTTCTCCATTGCCAGGACGAAGTCCAAGAAGGTCTTGTAGTCCTGGATTCTGTGCCGAAGCAAAGGTATGGTGCCGTCTGGCGGTCTGGCGGGTTCCGCCAGATCGTTCCAATCCCCACAAGCCAGGCACGGAACGTTCGCACGGAACCCGATCGATGACTCGCAGTTCTACACGATGTTCGCAAGTGGAAGTGGTTCAACTGTTCAACAGTTGCAAGAACGCCACTCAGCTTAGGTGAAGCAAGTGAACTCAGTGGTAGAACTGGTGTCAGCAAAGGCAGGAACGAATACCCCATTTCATGGGATTCCATGGGACCAGAACCGCCTGAAGAACCGCCTGCCTTCTGCATTCTGGGGGGGCATTAAGCAATTAAGCATGTCCTGTTGGGTGATGAGTTGGATTGAAGATCTGACCTAAAACCATCCATTTCCAACCTTTCCAAGTTCTCAACCTCAATTTGTCCCCGCAGGCCACCATGCCGGCCATTTCTGTGCGCAAGGCAGCGAGTCGGCGCTTCCTCTTTCTTTCATAGCCAATATTAATAGTAGACTAATTCATAAAACCCACCAAACATGGATGCGCTAAAAACTCTTTATATGGGGGGTTGAAAGGTTGAAATAGAATCAAGAGTCTAGCAATTATCTCCCCCCCGGCTCCCTCCCCATCTCTCGCCCGAAACGTCTGTCCATCTCTCGCTCGCCCGTCTCGGCGTCGCGATAGGTCTGGTACTCCTCAAAGACCCTCGGAGGGAGTTCCCGTGATTGACAGAATTCAACTAAGGTGGGCTGAAGGCACAAATGACACCAGGACCGCAGGCCCGTCCGTGCCTCAATTATTAGTCTATACTATTTACTACTCTGTTGAAACTCTAGAAAATCAAGATTAGGTTGGCAAATCAATGTCAGCACGGTGCAAAGCCTTTAATAGTCTAATAGTCATGATCTTACAAATACCACTGCTTTGTCAATGTGTTTTTCTGCATTGAAATGCATTGGATTGCAGGAACTGCGCCGGCTGACTGTGGCGGGAAGAAATCCGGCGCCCCTTAAGGTGGGGAATACCAATGGAATACGCCACCATTGATACAGGAGCTGGACAAGTTGACTTTCTAGAACACACATCGCACAAGTAAGGTCACCTGTGGCCTATGTATATCTCTATATATACTGTATATATATATATTAGTTAATCATAGTTAATCTAATTTGCTATCCATGACGCACCAACTCACTACACTCACTACATTGCCTTGGTGGATCACCACCGTCCTCGTCTTCCCCATCGGTCCCGTCTGGCCCGGACTGGAGTCCGGCCTGTCAATGAACACGTCGGTGAGCATCCCACTCCCGAACCGCGCCAACTCGTTCCGGCTGAGCATGCCATTCCTGCGGACAATGCGCCGAGAGGCCGACCAAGCCGACAAGTGGCCGAGACATATTGAGACTGCCGTTGTAGTATTCACATACATTGGCCCACCAGCAAAATATATTCGGAGATATTCGGTATTCGTAACGTTTGTGGATTGCGTGACTTGTTGGACGGTGGATTCAATGGTGTTTATCTCCGATTCTCGGCCATCTATCAACAGAATCAGGAAATCCTGCGATCGTGCCAAATCAGTTGCCATGACCCTGTGCTGCGTGCGGCTGCCCGGGCACTGAAAACTAGGTGCCCGGCTGATCATTGTCTAGGAACAAGTAGGCGTCATAGACCTCTCGATTTACATCTTGCGTGGTCGAGGCATGTCGAAAGAGCAAAAACAACGTGTCTTCTCCAAATTTATCGAAGAACCCTCTTTCTTGGAGGTTGCGGTCTGCCACGGTTTGCAGTATGGCGGCAGACCATGTTTTAAAGAAAGTCGCATGCGTTGGATTGGCATATCAAGATCATTCCTAATCCCAGCTTATCCAGGATGTGAACTGTGCTGTTGGAAGAAACTCTGGGATCACCCTGCAAACAAGCAGCACCATGCCGGCCAGTAAAACCTCCCAATGTTCAAAGGCTATGATGCTGGTCTTGCCTGAGAAGAGTTAATGTTAGAACACCGTGGCAATCTGTTGAAGGTGGGTCCTCGTGAACACCCAAAGCCATTTGCACAGGCCGACAAGGACTTCTTCTCTTGGAAGAACACCTGGACCTAGGTGATCTCCAATCACTGCATCACCCGCAAATAACACAAAAAAATAAAAACAAAATTAAACTGATAAAAACATGGTTTTTTATAGTTAATAACACCAAGGTCACTGGCGGGGTTTAGGTGCAGGCTATCGCGCTTGCGCCTTGAGAGCTGACTGCATGCTGAACCAGTTGTGCTCGGCATCCCCCAGGGGGTGTTCCTGTCGGAGCTCGTACCTTGGAATTCGGATCGGGTTCCCTTCTTGTAAAACCGTCCAGGATGATTTGAACATATACTTGAACCAAAGCATCCAATACAACACCTGTGGACACAACCTGTACAAAGGTTCTATGAGCTGCTCTTGGAAGTTCTCAGCTCTGAATTTGTAGTTCGGAACTGGCACTTTCATCTCACTTGGTCTGTGAAAGAGATCTGCGAATCCAAAAAACAGGCATCCCGAAAAACAACCCGTGGGTTGCGGTGGTGCTTATATGCGGTTATGTAGTCATGCGATCATATATACTATCATTTGCCAAAAACGGGGCAAAAGGTACCCCACTGTAGCAGCTGCAGTGTACTCGTCTTGAGTCGCAAGTCACATATCTGGCACACCGAAATGAAACTACTCCGTAGCCACAAGTCCGGTCCAGCCAGTTCTTTGCCCCAAATTGTTGGCGTGGAGGACCAACACTCGTAGCCCACTGTCCCAAATGACAACCTTTATCGTAAATAGATGCATGGTAAAGGGTGTCAACAAGCAGGGTTTTTGCGAACGTGATCACAGAAACAAGTGCAAGATGGCAATACGATGCAAAAGGGTGAAGATATTGTGTGATTATACAAACATACTTTAATTATACATATATATATAACATAAACCTTACACCGTATTTTACAGCAAATATATCCACATATTAGTATTGCATGAGCATTGCTATAGTTGTCAATGATATGTACACGACAGGCATTTAAGCCAATGAATGTTCTGCCTGGTGCCGAAAAAGTGCTTTTTTGCTCGAAACATCTTGGGGTCGGGTTCGAGCCTGCCACGGTCAGACCTCTTTGGGTTGCCTCCTTTTTTGCCAAGCCGATCCGGCATTGACTTTTGTACATCAACTCCTGGTACTCCTGGCATGATACTTAAACTTCTTCAGCTCAATGGTTTTCACGACAAGAACCATTCTATTGCCCGCAGTTTCGACTCACTTGCATACCTTTCCTCACCATGCATATGGCATAACATGGCATGCTTCCGGTGCCAAACACATCTTGCAGAAAGACTGTTATTCTGCAGGATGTGCTTGCCGCCGGGCTTTCCACGGCCCATCCCTGGCGTTTTACATGTTGTTCGCCAAAGGTGGGGTTGGAGAAATCATCGACTGCAACTTCAATTCGCTTGCTCAAATTCTTGGCGGCAACTGGCGGCCAACAACACTACACACGCACGCACTTTGCATCCCATATGTTAAGCACGAGGACTTGGAGAAGCAATTCTACAGCACGTCTGCCCCAGCAACGTTCACCCCACACACCGTGCCCAAACTGGCCACTAGCAGTTTCAACTCCAGCAAGCCCAAATGACCTGCCCTCTTGTACAAATAGCGCATTTCAGCATGCTCTGCTGCAAAACAACCTGTGGCCCTAGCTCTATAGGATATTCATTCCAGGAGGAAAACAACTCAAATCCGATATGCAAGCAAACACAGCAGCACGCCCCACTGAAATTTGGTTGGCCTGGTGGATTGCTTGAGCTGGGAAAGTGTGCAGTCATACATGAGCTGTTGGACAAATCGGTACAACAATTGCATAGTTATAGACACAAACTTCCACAAACATGAAGCTTGAAACATTCTCAACCCCAGCAGAACCCATGTTTTGTTTCACAAACCCAGTGATCCTCAAATCAGCCTAGACCAGTTGATCCACGTGGCAACTCTGGTAGGATCGGCGAGGAGAGCAAGTCCCGGATTCGCACCCGCCCCGTCCGCTTGGGGTCCTGGAGCGGTTTCCGGCTGCGACCACGCACTCGGCTCCGCCGGTGGGTCGTCCGGTGCCGTGGGACCGGGGCGAGGATGGCGGTCGGTGGAGGCGGTCGGTGTGTGGAAAGCGACGATTCCAGGAACCCGACTCAAGATGAGCGCATGCTCTGAGTCCCCTGGCAATGAAGACATGGTTGAAAGATGTTGAAAGCCCGAAAATGACAGGATGTTCGTCATAATATATGATTCCGTGTGGGGGCTTGGGGCTGCATGCTGGCCCGCAGCCAACCATTCTTGGATCCACGTTGAGGTCAACTCAAGAACCACGTCCCAGGTTTCGTGTCCTCCAGGGCTTGTCTCCTTTATGCTTTATCCGCGACCTCGGCACCCCACAAACCTTCCAGTAGGGCGGCCTAAGAGCACCCCCTCTCCCATCCTCTCCCATCCTCACCCCCCCAAAATGTCGCTCCAGGTAGAAGAAGAACTTCCGGACAGCCGTGAAGACGTAGAAGGGATAGAACCTTGGAGTTTCTCCGTCGATGGATGTTCCGGTGCCTCTCCCGGTCGCCCTGAAGAGGAAGAAATGCTGCAACACCTTAGGATAGACAGCTTGCGATGTAACTGGTGAAGATGATCGATGGATTCTTTTTCTGCGTGGCTCCAAGGCTTCAAGAATGGACGCGCAAGCACCAAATCACTTGAAGACAATCCTCTAAGGTTTTGCAGCCAAAACCACTCAAATGGCTTCCAATGGCCGGTGTCCCTCCCATCGCCCGAGCACTCTGCAGCCCGAAGACTCCTCCTGCAGAGTGTTGAGCTGAGGCCTGAAGAGGCTGCGAGTCGGACCACACCAACAAGCTTTATAGTAGTAATGCCATGTAATGCTAGGAGCTACTAGTAGCGTCCTTGCTGCTAGTAGCTATGCCCTTTGTTACAAGTAGCTTCTTGTTCCTACTAGCGATGCCCTTGTTAGATGTATTTGTCTTGTTCCCGGAGAGGGCACACAGGGTAATACTTCCCCGAAGATGGGCCTTCCTGGAAGTACCACCTGTCCTGAAGGATGCTTGGGAGTCTTGGGTAGCAAAAGTTTCACCAGTTTCACCTTGCTCCCCTTGATCAATGCGCATTGATCTCAATTTGTCATATGGGGTTGATCTCAATTTGTCACCAATGTCCAGGATCTTAGGCTTTCAACCATTGGACGTTGAAACGGTCATTGAAGTCGCCTCCGGGTGACGACTACCTCGCTTCTGGAACTGACCATAGTCCGTCTGCCCGTGCTCTGGCAGCCAGACCAATCGAGGCTCGAAAATAGCCAACAAAGAATCGCACCAACCTATCAGACAATTAAGCGAGAAGAACTGGTCATGTTTGTCTCGGAAGTGCATGTCATCAAATAAACATGAACTTCCTCCAAGGAAGAGCCTGCAAACATGGTACAACATGCACGCTAAGTAAATGGCAATGCGGTTTAGTCAATCGTTGTTCGTCTTTCAAAAAGACGGAATCAGAAAATAACATCCTTCATTCTTAACCTTTAATATGTTTCATCTTCCACTACTGTACTGTACCTTTTCTCCCTCAGCCCCCACACTTCCACCGGCCAAACTTTTCTGGGTCCCAAGCATGGTGGGAATCATCTCGAAAATGAAGTTCTCCATGTCCTAAACCAGCACACTGGGCGGTGGGGAAAGGCTTGGTTGTAGACTGAATGAGCTCCGTTTAAACAAACCAGAAAGGTCTTGCCAAACAGCAAACAGGCAAAACCCCAAACCGTTCACAATCAGTGAAAGTAATTAACATGTGCTGCCATACAAAGCATGGGCTGTAGTAGCCTTTACACAAAGCCGCCATGGCCCGACGGCTTGCATAATATAAACAATGCGCGTCAATTGCAAGGCTGTCAAAAACCACATGGGAGCTGTTTGCTTAAGTCACCGTAGCCTATTTGCGTCTTCGTCCGTTTCTTGGGCTTTATACCCCAAGATACCTGGAACGCACTCTTGTTCTAAGCAGTACCTCATTTGGTGCATTCGATGTCCGCGACAATCCGCGGTGGGTCCTTCTCCCTAAGGTATCCACAGCCGAGCGCGTCGTAGTAGCTGAGCTGTACCCGCGTCTGGCTTAAATTCACCTGCAGGGCAGTTGTCATCAAAAAAGAAACGCCATTGAGTCATCGGTTTCTGCATTTGGTTGACGACAGTTCTTTTCTAGCGGCTGGAAAAATGGAGTTTCCTCTGCATAGTTCTGCATGTAGAAAACCAGGATCATGGTCAGTCCAACGGAAGGGTCACCACAATCAAGTTTTCGCACGCACTGGGGGGGTGGCCAGGTTGCTTGGGTTCCACTGAACACCTTCGCGCGGGCTCCGGGCTGCGGCATCGATCGTCCGAGACGAAGGGCACCCTTCGTACGACGAAGGTAAAGAAGGGCACAATGGCGATGCGGCCAGCAGGATCTCGTGGGAACTTCAGGAAGTGCCTCCGCTGACGTGACGGAAGTGCCACCGCTGCTTCCAAAACGCGGGGTGTAAGCACAAGAAGAACTAGAAAAAGCAAACACAACAACATACAACAACCACGTTCACAAATCATCACAATCATCTATAAGATTCATCATGAGCAACAAAACTCGTCCAACCATGATATTCAAATAGTATACGTATAAATAATAGGAATCAATGTTATCAACATTTGAAAGATACATTGTGTGTTTTTGTTTTTTGTCTTAATGATCTTGGCTCTCATATCCTAAAGGGTGATTTCTATGAGGGGTTCCAAATATAGTCTGAGGGATCTCCCCTATAAGCCTATAAGGTAGATTGTGGACAGGTGTCCCTAAAACTTTGTACTGTCGTTGTATAGCGAGTGGGTGACTGTCGATGGCTTCAACCTCCAAGCCGCTTGGAGCGTCTATCCGCAACTCCCTAGCTCACTCTCCTCGACTCTCTCTCTCTCTCTCTCTTTCTCACAGGTTCTCCACCTAATGGGCAACAGATTCTAGCCGCCCAATTGGCAACATCGCATGGCTAAATGCAAAATACACCAAATATGCGTCCGCAGGACGATCCGGAATCAGAGTCCAGCAGAGTCCTTTCTTTCTTTCGTTGTCCCCGTGTCTCTCCCTGTCGACGGGGGGACCGTTCTGGAAACGCCAGGGCTGGTGGCGCTCGAAACGGAGTCGCAGGAGGCACAACTGGTAGCGGCATCGGATATGGTCTACCATCATCATCTCTGGGAAGCAGCACATAGCTGCACCAGCGGTTTTTCGTGCCAAATACTGGAGAGAAACGGATGCTTCTCATCCCTGTTTCGTACGCAACGCTTGATTTCTCTTTGAACTCCTATCCCAGTGTGTATCAACTCAGACAGTTCCAAATCTATAATGTTGATTCTTGATGAATAAACCACCCCAACCTCTTCATATATGGGGGGGGTTGTTAATCAAGAGTCTACATTACAGTAGTTATTGTAACTCAGTCTGGTTCCAAAGTTTCACTTTACGTAGGGTCTTGGGCTTGGGTGTCCCTCCCTCATGACCAAAAGGAACAGATGCACTCACTAGTGAGTTTGCCGGAAGAAGCTTTCATCCCACTGTCCTGACGTCAATCCAACATTACTGTTTAACAACAAAGGCATATGTCATCTGATTCCAGAGTAGATGGCACAATCCCCATCAAGAAATTCAGGGGTTGACCACCTCCAACATCACTATTTGGATACCATGCAAGCTCTCCACTTGAAACTTGAATCCCGATGAAAATCCCTTGAGTCACGCCAAAGGTGTTAGGGGCCTGGCATTGATGAACCTAATCTGAGCAGGTGTTGGGGCCTTTGAAAGTACAAGTAGAAGAAGATCAAAGGAATCAATCTACTCTGTCAGGTGATTCCATGATAACTGGATCTACTTGTATTACTAAATGAGGCCCTGGTGTAGTTCACTACTCACTGTTGTGGATATTTACAAGATCCAAATAAACAATGATCAATGTGATGTATTGATATGTATTGTATGCGTCTTGATCTACTCATATCCACATCTGCAACCGGCCGCTCGGTCTCCCCACGAAGGCTCGAAGTACTGCTTGAAGCGCTCCCCGCGTTTCAGGAGCTCCTGGCTACCGCTGATGAGGAGTGGACGAACCGCACACACGCACAGTGGTGGAGTGAGAAGAACATGTAGCAAACTGAACTGGCTGATCAACAAGCTGACTGGTTAGTCGGTCAGTTGGCTATTTAATTGGTTACAGGATAAGTTATAAGTTTGTCAAGTTGTAGTATAATATATTACTGTATGTATACATGTATAGGGCGGCGCTGACTAGGGGGGCCATTATATAATTACATAGTCGGTTTTATTTGGGTAACATAAATAAAAGCTCATTGGTCGCTTGGTGGGCTAGTTCCTTTGCTGGTGCATTTTGTCGATATAGTCACTCCGTGTTGGAACATCTGCGTCATGACCACTGGTCTCTGCATTCTGTGATATTCTATGACACTGAACCTAGTGGCCAAGGCATGTCTATGACCAATTAACGCCCTCACACTGCAACCCAGAATGCAAGACAGTTTGACTGGGACCACTGAACACTCCAAGACAACCACCGAGTACAAGCCCCAACATCTCCTTCTCATCCAAAAAAACTCAATAATTATGTTGACAGGCTCTACTTCCACACCACCATTTGAGTGAGTTTGCTAGTTGAACGAGACAACCCATGATGTTGAGATGCCCAGAAACTGACGCAGAGTCCTTTCATCTCCCAGTCGCCTGCCGTACTTTGTAGAAGCCGTTGTAGTCGATGACCTACCAAAGACTTGCTGAGTGTCAGGGGTTTGGATCTGTGGGCATGAAAGGTGGTGTTGGCAGGATGGAGAGCCTCTGGTTTGAGCCAAGATGCGGGGCTACTGGAGAGCAGTGGGTACGGTATGCTTCAGCCAATTTGTTGTGCAACTCGAAGGTACGTGTCAGTAGGTTGAATGTTGATGTGTATTGTCTTACTTGACTAGTATCAATTAAATATGAATTTGATGATGAAAAGATATGAAAAGTAGCCACACCACAACCACCTTCAAACACCAATCTGCTTGTTGTGCCCAATCCTTGATGTAGCAAAATCTGTTGTGCTGAGAATCCGGATCAGTGTGTTCCAACAGCTGATGGAACACATCCTGTAAATCCTGTATCGCTGTATCGCCCCTTTCCAATGCCCGTCGAATCCGTTAAGATCCAAACCCATCCCGATTTGGTTAATGGCTCCTCTCGAGGGACATTATTTGCCAATCAGAGTATGTTGCAGATTATCCGCAGGATATCTCAGGATAATCTCAGGTGCTTTGTCGTTGCTCTGTTTGCCTCACCAGGTGCACTTCATGACCCGCAACCGGACCCGCCTCCACCTCTGAGTGGTCGGGGGCCCGAGTGACACTTCCTTGCTCCTCGCAGTCATGGTACCAACTCGTTGGTACCGGCCGGAGATTGGGTCGTTGGCAACGTCCCATGGTCTGCCCCTGCTCGTTGGGTTTCGAAAAACCACTCCCCAAACCAACCTGACGCTTGACACATGGCAAGGCAAAGCGGTCCCGTTGAAGTTGAAACGGAAGCCAGGGAGCGGCGATGCAGTGTAAGAAAGGGATGACGAGTCACAGCTTGACGGGAGTTTGTCGTTCTTTCACCGGATGAGCTTGTTCACCTCATGATGGCGACAGCAGCTGCTCAGCGACGGCTCACCTGATGACTTCACCAAAGCCGTTTCCGTGACCTGTAGTGACAGACTCGATATCATCTCCGAAACTACATCAGCGAATCATGGATCTTGCCGATTGAGAATGTTTTGAAATGCTGCATAATATATTTCAGTCAGCATGATGTCCAGGACACTTCTGCTGCTGGGAACATAAACACAAACATTTCTGAACCCAGTGGAGTCCCCCTGCATTCCCATCGATCTCCTTCAAGAGCCCCAGGATCGTATGAAGATCCTGTCGTTGGAGCTCGCTTCGGGCGCAAGCTCGCTCGCTCGAACCCGGAAGATCCGACGAAACATGAAAGGGGGGAGGTGAGGTGAAATCTGCCACGGTGCCAAGAGAGGTTAAGTGACCTGAACTAGGACCTTACTGGGGTACAGAACTGGGATAGGCTAGTTCGGGTCCTTCAACCTCTGTTGCTGTGTCTCTGAAAGAGGAAGATTCCTGGATCATCCATTCCGAGTGACCCGGGGAAAAGGCCCTACCTCCAGCAGGCAGCTGAGTGGTGAAAAGCCTAGCCACTTGTGCCAGAGGTATATTCACAACAAAACTCCAGTACATTTTGCGCTACAGAAACCGTTGAAGTGTCATGGGGAGATCCCAATATCTATTCCAAACTGCTTGTTCAACAATTACATAAATTCCTTTGTGGACACATGTGGACACTCATATTGAAATCTACACCCCTACACTCAAAGTCCTACAGTCTGTCGCAGCTTGCGATGGCACAGAGCACAAAATAGTAAATGCTTTCAACATCATAAAATATCATAAACATAGCACCTCTTTTTATGTGTCTCCACAGGATTCCTCTTCTCCACTGAAATCCTTCCGGCTTCCGTCCTCCTCGTCGAGCAGTTCCTTGGAGGTCTTCCTCTGCAGTAGCCTGGAGCCTGAGCGATCGCCGAACGGCGCACCAAGCGAGCTCCGACTTCGTTCTGCCTCCGAAATCGGAAAAACCCAACCGGTGTGGTCTGTGACTTTCCGAGAACTTCCAATCATAGGAATTATATGGAATTATATGGAATAATGGTCCCATTTCATAGGAAGCCTCCAATCGGGCACATGAACACACTTTGTGGTGCTGCTGGGATTGTCATGGGTTGTGTGGACGCAAGGACGCATCCAAATCGAGGAGGTTTCGCCTAAGAGTCTGAAGCCGGAATGGTTGCTGGACACTATTTTGTGATCCTTCGTGTCTGGTCAACTTGAACATGAGAAAAAACAAGCAACAACTTCGGAAATTTCTAGAGAAATGTACGAAAATATTAAGCGTATGTACAACAAGGGTAAATCGTACAGGGCAAATGATGGGTTGACATGGCTCATGTGTTTCTTCCTCCACTTCTCTTCCTCCCCACGGATGTCTAGTAATCAGAAAGAAGCCTTATTGGTACTAAATTGCACACGGCAACAAAGACGGAGATAGGTTGGCTCCTTCCCTCAAGCTATCAAATTTAACCCCACAGCTTATAGCACATGATGTGTCGCTTCAAAATCATTCTGAATATAATACATAACACACAACAAAGAAATCACACATGCATAAACTAAAGGAAAGGCAAATGAAAGGCCATGAAGGCAACTGCTAGCATGCTTCTAAGTTCTCCAAATCATACATCTATAGAATTCTATGTCTATAGAATAGATAGTCTATATATCTATGAACGATATTCCTTCCTTCTCTGCACCATTCCTGCCCAGAGGCGTGCTTCCCGCAGCACCCGGGGCCGTAAGGAGGTCGACTCGTCGAGGGGTGCGGCCTGGATCGAGGGGTGCAGCGGATGCCGAGCTGGATGGGAAAAAAACCGCAAAGCATGCAGCTCCGGAAGAATTCAACGCCTGAGGATCGTCTTGTTTCATGGTTTTAGTGATGTCTTCTTTGTTTTTAATCAAACTGATGCTCTGTCCTTGTCTAGTTACTAGTGCTGGAATGTGCTGGAGCGGCGGGAGCAGTACATTAAAAAGATGGGAAGCGAAACAGAAAGTGACCTAGTGACCTAAGCTGAAAGCTGAAATCGACTGGTTTGCAAAAGAAGATCCTGCGTGAACTCAGCAGATCTCGAGTCACCAAATATAGGGATTTGATGGGATTTGCACTCATAGATCTGGGCTTTGAGGCTCGCGAAAACACCAAGCTGAGTGGGGTGTTGCCTTGCAAATTCGCAACTTCACCAAGCAGTTGAAGAGTTGGTGCAAGCGGGATGGGCTTTGGTGTCCAAAAGAATCCAAAAGGGTTGTTGTTTGAATGAGATTTGGATGATACTAGTCTTGAGATGCACAAGAAAATGGGCATTGGACCCCGATCTTCTCGCAATCAGTGGCTTTGGTGTACAAGAACTCAAGGGAACATCAAATCCTAATCTTATGATGTACAAAGTGAATACATACCAATGTAGCAAACCAATCAAACATAATTCAGACTTGTCTTGCGTCTAGTGGTTTGGATCACCCTCAGTCCACTGGCGCCCAGAACACCATTGGGACGTCCTAACACAGAACGCTGCCTAGTGCCCAACACTGTGGTATCAATGTGCGGCGATGAACGTCAACATTGGATCAGTAACCCGGTTTGTAGTCTGAAGATGTTTGTTGTCTATATATAGTCCCAAATTCACCATCAAAACATCCGCAAGTCAGGCATAAAATCCATGGTGCTCCAACCGTTTGAGTCCCCCATCGCATATACTAATAAAATGTTCGAGGCTTAAAGTCTCGGTTGTAGGTTTTTAGCATGCGTAGCGGCGGATTGCCAGGCTTGGTGTTTGTTTGGCGTTCAATTCATTCAGCATGCTTTGCAAACACTTAGTGAAGGTTATTGTGATCCCTTTAAGTCACCTATCATTAACCTACGTAGCCTACGTGACACAATGTGATATGCTCCCCATCCTTAACTAAATATATACCCTCCCTGAAACCATCTATGGAAGTGGGAAATGGCCCTCGAGACTGGAGACCACATTCCTCTACAAACAGGGGGGCACCTGTCCATTTCCATCCACTTCCAATGTTTGTTAGAAGGGTATCTATATATATATATATCAATTCCGGTAAAATGGCAAACAAAAACAACGCCACTCAGATCCACCCAGCCTTGCGCTGGAAGAAGCGCGGAATGGACCTCCCAAGTCGGGAAAAAAACCCGAGATAAATGGACACCACAACAGAATCTTGTGATAGCTTGTGTAGATATATAGATCCTTGTAGTAACTAGGGTCTCAAGATGATCACCTATGTGGTCAGGACTGAAAGACTAAACATGTCTCACACTGACATTGTGATGTTGGCAATAAGGCAATAAGCAATACCAAACAAGAAAACGCACGAAGTACGCAAACTGCTAATCAATGAGTGAAGCGGGACTCGGACTAACTAGGTGTGGAGTAAAGCAAAACACACAGGCAGGCCTACATCATAAAGCAAAAACAGAACGTAAACAGGAACACAAAAAAAAAACAAGAACAATGAACAAAAACAACAACACACTAAAGAGCCACAACCACAACGACCACCAACTCAGCGGCGACAGCAGCAGCAGCAGCAGCAGCAAAAACGGGATGTGGCGACCACATCACTGTGGAATGGAATCCAAGGACTGCTGAGGTCAGTGAAGAACTCCACCCTCCCAAGTTCTGTTGCCCTTCAAACCGGCTACGTCAGCTTCCTCGCGAAGGTCCACGTGCCTCAAGGAAGGGCACCGCTGCTCTTCTTTTTCTCGTTCGAGCTCTTGGAGCTCTCGAAAAGCGGCCTCCTGGGGAGAAAATGAGAACATGATCTGCTCCCAACACCCAAACTCCTTAGTTAGAAGGAGCAGCCTGGTAGCCCATTTTTGTTTGGCATTGGGTGTGTCCAATTGTTGTCAATGTATGAAGCATGTTTTCTTTCCGGCTGCTTGGAGTATATAACAAGCACATTCCATCGGACCATCGGATGCTCTAGCTACCGTGGAGTGGTGATGTCCCATCACCGTGCGAGTTAAAGCTCCAAAACCTCCACATCTACAAAAGCTCCTCAAACCGACGCAGAAGTTTGAGTATGATTGAATGTATCGGATATATTGTTTTCATTTGTTTTCTGTACTTTCGACTGATTCGGGTCTACCTGCGAACCCACAAAAAATTCACCCAGCGTTCCTTTTCCCAGGTCGACCAAGGAGTCGGTCGTCATGAAACTGGAGGATCTGAAGTGAGATCCTACTCATCACCTTTTGGATTCACTATGTCAGTGGATCCATGTGGAACCTCCCCTGAATTCCATAGGTCTCATACCGATTCGGGTCACACCAGGTAGACTTCCTCCAGGCCCATGCAGGCCCTCTCTCTGGAACTGCTGCAACTGACTCCTTGGTGCATCCACGACTTGGCTCGATCCTTTCGACTGAACTGCGGGGCTGAGCTCGTCTTTCTTCGCCCCAGTCCTCGGCCATCTCCATATCTTCCTCGCTGGGCAGTTCATAGCCTTTGGTGTAGCCTCCGCAGTGCGGATCGAGTGGTGTAGCCTTGGGCACACCTCTCGTCTAGTCCCCCCTGGGGGAGAAAGACGGTCCATCTGAAAGTGCTGGAATTGGCGGAGAAGGAGAAGGAGTCGTCTGCAGAAGGAGTCGCGGTCAATGTCGATGATTGCTTTGCGTGAAGGGAATGGTCGCCAAAAGGGGTTCTTTGGGTTTTATCTGTATGTCATTTCAGGGGCTGTGGTGTGTATAAATTATGGTAAAAATCCGTTCACATCTTTGTTACGTTCTTTCGTGCCCATCTCTTCATTGCTTTGGTATTGGGTCATGACAGAGACGACTGACGTCCGCTTCGAGAACTTCACCAATTTCTGCAACAAACAAATTGAGGCGTCTGGGACGGTCCAAAGAACTTGCTCCGGTCCTTCAGTCCTGGGTCCCTGACATTCTAATGTAGGTTCTTGGTGAACAAAAACAATTTATATAGATGATGACACATACTTTAAATATTTATATATAATATGTATATATAATATAATAAGAGAGATTCTATCAGTCTACCTTACACCATCCCCACCCACCTCTCAGTCGCAGCAGAGCGTTTGACAAGTTCAGGCACGCCGGGCGGACCCTGCGACGGGCGGAGCATCGACCAGAGAATCGACCGAAGGTGACGAGTCTCCGTCGTCGGAGGGGTTGGTTGGATGACCGTGTTGCAGCAGATTTCTGGTGCGAAGATGGTCCTAGGTAGTTTGTGTCTCAAACAAATTTACACCAAAAATGAACAGGGAACCAGAGAACGATGGGGGTGTTCTCTTGTTGGCCTTTGCGGTATACAGATCAATGCTCAACGTACAGCGCCAGGTTTGTGCATGGAAGGTATGGGTCACAAAGAGGAGACCTACATACAGGTGGACCGACAGGTTTCAGACCAAATCGATGGGCTGTGTTGTTGACGGTGAATGCTGGGATCTTGCTGTTCCCCGATTCTGGCATCCTGACGGTTGAGTCCATGTAGAAACAGCTATAGAGACTATAGAGTGTAGAGTCCATCGAATAGAACACCTCGTGATCTTGAACAGCAGCTCAACCAAGTCATGCCTCTCCAACTCAAAGAAAACAACTGAATATCTGTGTATATATGTATGTGTATGTACGTACGTATGTATGGTATGTATGTCTGTCAGAATGTCAGTATGTCAGTATGTCAGTCAGTCAGTCAGTCAGTCAGTCAGTCAGTCAGTCAGTCAGTCTGCCTGCCTGTCAGTCTGTCTGTCTGTGTATATATATACATATGTGTATGTGTGTATGTATGTGTATCTATGTGTGTATACTTACATATGCTCGTTCTACCGGTTAGCTCGCCACACCCACGTGCCCCAAAGTGCTACCTGTAGAATCCTGTGACGCCCCTGTGGGGGGGGAGGAAAATAATGAATGACAATGAATGACACACATACTACATGTATGTCATGCATGAACAAAGGACAAACTAGGGATGGATGGATTGGTGGAGAGTTGAACGGATCAATACAGGCATGGCTAGTGGTGGTTGTGAGAGTAGGAAAGGTTTACTTCGCAAATGGTCTACTCAAACCTGCAAAAGAAAATAAAAGAAATGCATAATATACATGAGAAAAGTGTTGTCCTTTTTGTCCCATGTTGTGGAACTATGTCATGCCTTTTTTTTGATCACTGTTGGGAGATTTCTACTCAAATACCCCGTACCCAAAACCAGCCCCCCTGAGGCACCGACATGTCCGAATGGCGCCGCTTCCCGTGTTTTCAAAGCAGCCACGGGGACGCAGTCAGTGCACGCGGCTCCCGGATTTCCGGATTTCTGGCGAATATGTTTCCGTGATGATGATCGAAGTAATGCCTGTCAATTTGCCACATGCAAAGGTCTATGATAGGCATCTTGCCAATGCTGGAAACTGGAACTGGAAGAGAGAGTAGGAGGGCCGCTGGTCATGAGAAAAGCCCTAGTTGCAATGGTTGTTTGTTTTGTCATAATATCATCATTTATTGTAATTTATGATGCCAGCATTGCGATCCCCAACAAGAATAAACTTCAACAAAGACCATGACTAAAGCTGGTGGCCCCCCTTTTTTCGGGGCGCGCCACCCACCATTCTTGAGCCAAATCGGATTATGTGGACGAAGTGTCATGTCCCAACCTCTCAGGAAAGCTTTGCAGCTGTCCAACCTCTCGGGAAATGTATAGAAATGCTTTATGGCTTAGCCCACCGGGCACGATATTTTCGGTGGATCTGGTGAACACCACGGGACCAAACACTGAACCCTGGACCAACGGTCATCCTTTCTGTGAATCAAGGGTCATTCATATCATTCTTTTCCGGTGCACCAGTGAAAAGCCCCAAAGCCTACATCAAAACCCATCAGCACCCGGTCCGATCTTCGATCAGAACCCAAGATGGTCCACCAACCTCAAGGATCTTGACCCCAGATCAGAACTCGCTGTGTTTCCACATAGCATCATAGGATCCTGGGATGGTCATGGTCCTGGTTGGACTCCCTTCCCCTTTGCAGGCCCGACCCGCACCAGTTGTCCTATTGTCTTGTCCAATCCTGCCATGTTTCCACTATCTTCAAACAACCTTCTTCGGATGGAGGAGGTTGTAGTCACAATAGTACCTGTAATTGTTTGAACATGTTTGAACCATCCAGGGTGGATGCACAAAACTTCCCACATGTGCAATTGTAACTTGTATCCATTGCGATGTCTATCCAATCTCGAGCCAAACGGTGATTCTGATGTTCACCGACACACACACACAACAAAAAAATAAAGAACGGATTTCCAAAGAACTAAGGTACCAGTAACCCATGGGACATCTCCGACGGGACCACTCCAAAACCCTCCGGAGTCCGCCCCCCACGTGAGTTTGATCATACCCAGTCCCAGTCCCATAGCCCCATCTTTTGTGGATTCCCCAGTCTCGGCTTTCTGAGGTCCAACCTTTATCCCAAGACCCCCACCTTGGCTCTCGCCACATCCAGGCGGCCCTTGGCCCCTGCGACACACCACGTCGGTGAAGATCTACACAGGGTGGAGGCCATCGCTACTGAGTACTAGGGTGGAGGCCAGACAAGGAGGCTCCCCAGTCTCGCGGGGGTCTCCACTACATTCCACAGGGCTACTTGTAAATCCCTCAAGGATCCGGGTGACGTTGTAGATTGGATTGTCAGGGTGAGGTTTAGGGTCCTAGGAAATGAAGGGACTCAAGATGACTTAAGTGTCGGTCTACAGAATGAAGGGGGGCCTACATCACCAGCGAGGTGACTTTTTGCATGCTGTGGAAACTGTGAGCGGCAATTGTGTGCAAACCTCAGGTCCCACTAGAAATTGGCTTGCCCAACGTCTAGCGTGCATTGTCGCCCAAAATGGCTGGGCTGCCCCAAAAGTCAAATTACTACAACATGATTGCCCAAAAGTAGATTTCACTATACAGAAAGCCTTTTTATTGCAGCCTCAAGGCCAGTCATTCTTTAGTGGAATTTTCCATCGGAGATCCTCAAGGTAATTTTGGTAGAAATTGACTGGGCCAGCTTGCAAAGCTCAAAGGACTACTATTTTGAGCCATGGCCACACCCGTTTTTTGCTGGTGAGTCAGGTCCTGAGTCTGAGCGCGTGCTGTGTCATGCCAGAAGTGGTGTGGTTCGTCCCGCTCGTGGATGTGATGTTCGGGGCGGCACCTCCTTCCGTTCGGAACAGGCGCGACGTGTGATGATCTGTGTCCAGACCGGACCGGTTTTGGCACCCTCCCTGAGTCTCCAGGCCCTTCTCGGGCCGACCGGCCATGGCCGGAAATTGCGTTTTCAGCACCCCCTTTGGGGGGCTTGAGCACTGAGACGCAACGAAACATACAGTCACTGGAACCTGGTGGTTCAAAGGGTGTTCCACGGCCACGCAGATTAACCCCCTGGGTTTTAAGCCCTGTATGATTTTGCCAAGACACGGTTTTGGGGTAAAGAAAAAACAGTCTTGGTATGGCCCTGGCCCAAGGCCAAGACTTATAGACGCGGAGAGACTTGCGGGATCTATATTTGAATCTGTATTGTGCAGAAACTTCATCCAACTCTACTCGGAAGCAACATTGAACAAAAACAATTGTGTTGTTTGATGTTTTTTGTCAGTTAAGGGGAGACACGCCAATGCACTTTCATGTTCAGCCATATGGGGCCATGATCCAAGAGCCACGTCATGGCGCCACGTCATGGCGGCTCTTTCTAGCTCTTTTGGGCGAGCGCGGTGCTGTTCTGGGAGCGGGATTGGATCCTGAAATGCGAGATTGACCCAAGTGAGTGCCTTGGTCAAAAGAAAGGTTCTCTTCACGCCGCTCGGCGTTCTCCGTCGACACTGGAGACGGACCGGTCATTCCGTCGGATCCGGTGGGTCCGCGGTATCGACGATTTCGGGGGGGTCGTTGATGGTCGTTGCCCACCATACCTCCGACACGATTCACTTTGCTCCAAAGTAATACCTTTGCCTTAAAGGAAAACACTCAACTGCGAAATGATCTCATTGCACCTACAAAAGTTATGACACAATTTGCAAAATCCAAGAGTCGAAAAGCAATGGACATCTCTTGACCCAACCTTCTCCATCACCAGAAATAACAGCCCAACAATAACCAAATACAAGCACGCGAACAATAAACCTTACGTAGCATTTGGGGGGATTTTGTTTTTTTCGTCGGTCGTGGTGTTCTTTCTTCGTTGTGTTTTTTCGTAAAAAATCGTCGTCTTGTGGGGTCAAACCAACTCGTGGGCTCTCAATCGACTCGTGGCGTCGACATCATCTCAATCTCTCTCAGGTCCAACCCCGCGAAAGAGAGCGAGGACGTTAACGAGGCCCCAGCGAAAGAGGGAACATGAAGAGCACTCAGCCAAGACAGATCAGACGGAGATGTTGACAACTGAATATAGTGTAATTGACACGGTTGATTCGCTGATTGAAT